GGGGATGGGGGAGGGGGCGCTGTTGGTGGGTGGGGTGAGGAGGAGGGTGGTGAGGATGAGGAGGATGGTGGTGGTGGTGATGGGTGGGTGGCGGGCCATGGCTGCTTTTGTTGTTGGTGGAGTTGGAGTCGTAGTCGTAGTGGGGTTGTTCGTTTTATCGCTGGATGGAAAAAGTGGGTGTATTGACGAGTCCCTTAGACACAACTCAATCTGGAAATGAAGGTGAAAAGCTTTCGCACTCGAAGAAATGACTCGAGAGACAAAACATACCTCTTCTTTATATCGTCCTCGAGTCTCCCTCTTAATTCCTCACTCCCATTTCCATCCCCATCCCCATTCCCAAGCACCCAATCCTCCGCATTCCACAAGCCCAGTCCGACCGCAGAGCCGCGCACCCCCTTCCCCCCATCAGCCGACCAAACCACATATACGCATTCATCCCAGACAAAGAACTCTTTGTCATCCGCGACGCCAAACGCAGAAAACAACGAAGTGAGACGAAAATAACCACACGAAACACTCACGTCATTGCTCAATAGACTTCAAACATCAGGGAACGACACGCAAGTAGACATCTGTTTTTTTGTTACGTAAGAAGCCCATCGAAGCCGGCAATAGTAGACAAAGACCAACGCCGTACACCTTGCTGATCTCCTGCCGGATCACTCGTAGAACATCGTCCTGATATTGCGCTTTATGTACATGACAAGGGAATCCGCCTCACGCTAGCCCATCATCGGTAGAAGCCCTCGTCGCCACCGACAGGAGGCGCACTCGGTGCCTGTCCAGGACGATACGCGAGGTATTCTTGTGTTGGAGGGGGAGAACTGGATGTTGCAGCGGGCGGGGCAGGCGGAGCATGTCCGGGCTGTTGTGGTGGGTATCCGTAAGCTGCTTGAGGGGGTGGTTGGGCATAAGGATCCTGTTCGTGGGGAGGTTGTTGTTGAGGAGGTGGGGATGAAACATGTTCATAGGGGTTTTGGATTGATTGTGATGGCCCTTGTGGAGGTCCTTGGGGCGCGCTTGTCTGTGGAGGATAGCCTCCGAGTTGTTGTGATGGTGGCGGATATCCGTAACCCTGAGGCGCCGAAGGACCGTCCTGAGCTTGGTTCGGGGGCACAAAAGACTGCCGGTTGTCTACAGGCGAGTCGTAATGCGGCGTGGTTAGTTCTTGAGGCGGAAAGTTTTGTGGTCGCCCCACGGGCACTCTGCCTATGGGAGGGGCGTAGGGATCTGAAGCTGGAGCTGGTTTTGGTGTTTGTTGTTGGGGCCGGTGGTCACCAGGTGGTACCATAAAGAAAGCAGGATTCGAGCCTGCAGGTGGGTAGTTGCCAGGAGGCCCTTGAGGAGGCGCTCCACCGCCATATCCAAAGCGATTTGGATCCTGCTGAGGAGGTGCAGAAGTCGGCGGATATCCCGCATAGTTACTTGGAGGTGGTGCATTGTAGCCACCGTACGGGCGGCCACCATACGCAGGTTGTGGAGGCTGTGACATAGATGCCTCGAGCATGGACTCGTAATCGCGGCGAGCCTTGATGAACTTCTCATTCAGCTGCGTAAAGTCGTCTAGTTTGTGTCAGCGCCACACTTCAACATATGGTGCAGCAAACATACCCTTCTTCTGTGAGTACTTTCCAATGAGCTCAATCAACTTTGGCCTGATGGCCAGTGTGGAGTGGTATAGTTCTGTAATCTCCTCGTTGTCTCGTGTGTCGTTGCCTCCCTGCGAGGTCGTACTGAGTAGTGCGAGTAACTTCTCCACATTCCGTATCTGCGCAAACACCTCGGCCTCCATGTGCGCTTCTTTCTCCAGCTCCTCACGTGTCGGATCCTGAAGCTTCTCCACGTAGTTCAGCGGGAAAATGCCCGTTTGGCCACGAAGCGACCCCTTCCACCAGTCCTTGAACACTGATTCCAGCACAGCAATAATGTCGCCCTTCCGGAACTGCAGCTCGCCAGGCTCAGATGGTTGGAAGTCGAACAAGGCTCGGACACGCGAGACGGTCGCCGCAGTTGTGCCCGACGGTGCTGGTGGTGTTGGCTGGGCAGGCTGCGAGCTGGAACCGGCGCTCGTGTCTTGTGGCGCATTGGACTTGGCCGCGACGGGAGTTGCGCCCTTTGATTCTTTTATCGACATGGCAAGGGCCATTTGAAGTTCGTCGTCTTCCTTCTGACGATCGACATCGGAGATCTGTGTCTTCTGTGGTTTGGACGGGGCTCGGAGGTTGGGATCTAGGTCACGTCAGTCTTGTCTCGCCACGCCCGATCTTGTTGTAAAACCCACTCTGTGTCTTCAGCTTCATATACGCGCCCTGCATAATGCCAAGGTCCGGATCACGGGAGAACATGTCTGCCCACTCTGCCATGCGCTCGATGATCTTGGCCTTGACTTGCTGATGCGTATTCCTATCGTTCGCTAGCCTCAACAGCGCGTCTGTAAAGCTCCGTGACGCCAGCTCCTTGTGCATGGGCATCCCGCAGTTCTGGGAAAGGGCGTTTGCGAGCTCGAGGGTGTATAGCTGTACGTTCGCGTTGCGGTGTGCTAACCGCTTGATCATAGCAGAAACAACATCTTTCGCGCCGCTGTCGGAGGCTCCGACTTTGTCGCACACATCCTGAAATCTTGTTAGTTGTGTACGCCAGATGTTGTTGAGTCTTGCAGCCACAATACAGCTCCGTCGGGGCCTGCAACCTTGCAGAGCGCCCCATTCGCGCCTGAGGCACTGTAGAGGAAATCCAAACGTACAAGTATGTATTCCCAGTTCTCACTTGTCAAGTTCTCGTCAGTTGCCTTTACTACGACCTCGTCGAATATGTTCGACTGCGCACGAAACATGTTGGTTGCCTGCTTCGTTGGCGGTTGATGTATGGTATGTGGAGGTGTTGGAGGTGTACGTGTACCGGATCGGTGGAGACGGGTAAAACTCAGATTAGCGGAGGTAAGGGAAGGTGAATTCAGACGTCGTGGTGTTTAACAGTTGAAGAGGTATGGTCAAGACTGCGTCTACTTGGTGTCGTACCGCATAAACTGATGTAATTTTGCTAAGCTAGGCCCGATCAGGCAGGAGCTCAACGCCAATTAGATGGCAAGGAATTGCTCCTAAAATAAACATAATATAGCTTAGCAGCAGTTTTAAACTTTAAAACGTTATTAAGATACCCCTATTATATAAATTTATTAGACTATAATATCTACAATGCCTCTAAAGGGTAGAGAGCTGCTTTTATTTAATATCTATTATAATTAGGCTAAAAATTATTAAAATAATACTTATTATTATATCTTAACAGCGTTGCTACTACTACTGCCTATAATACTACCTCTATTAACGCAGTAAACTAATACTAGCAGAGAAGCTATATACTAAGAGAATAGTAGCAGTAGTTTACTACCTATATAAGACCTTAAATTACAAGGTTAGTATTATATTAGAGCTATTAAATTAGCTATACTGTCCTAAGTATTACCTAATAACACTCTACTAGTATAGTAATAATTATTTAATCCTCTAAATAAGCAGTACTTTATTACCCTAAAGAATCTTTTTACTAGTAAGCCCTTAACTATACTACCTAAATTAGTAAAATATAAGTTTAAAACTAAGTTAAATTTAAATATTAAGTTTCTACTAAAACAGAGAAGGACAGAGCTATAGATAAAGACGCTAGCTAAAAGAAGTAATTAGTATACAGAGCTATTAAAAGCGTATAAAACAGCGTCTTAGGAAAAGAAGATTAGTATATATAAATTAATTAATAATTACAGTATATAGATTATTAATAACTTACCTATACTAATTATACACTAGAGATATTAACTAAAGGAGAATTACTAACTATTAAATAATTATAAAATTAAGGCTATTTAAGGGATCCTATATTAGATAATAGGTAATTAGTAGTACTAATAAGCTACTGTTATATAAGCTCTATAGGCTAGTTATTAGGTAGTATCTTTAATTTCTAGCTTATATTAGCTAGCCCTAGAGAAGGCGTTGTATTAGAGCTTTATTAAATAATATTTAAGTAATTAACTTATTTCTAGTAGCTAGTTCTAGCGTATAGCCTAATAGTTATTTTATAAGATATATAAGGTTAAGCTTAAGTTTTCCTTTACTATTAGTTAGTTCTTAGGCTTTAAAAAATAATAAAGTATCTTTTATAGAAGGCTTACTAATTAAGCTTAAAAACTTTCTAAGAATTAGGTTAGTATTATTAATTTATTCTTAAGGTTTATTTAACAGTATTTATAGGTTAAAATAGGTAGTAATTAGTACCTAGCTATGTATATTCTAAATATAGATAAGACTCTAATTCTATTTAAGTATTTAGAGAGCTATACTTATACTTATACTAGTAATTATACTGTCTCTAAGTATAGTATTAAATTAGGCTAGAGTAAGTACTAAGCTATATTAATACTATATATCTTTACTAATAGCTCTAAGCCTATAAAGCTAAAGATAATCTTTTATAGCTTTACTAAAGGAGACCTTAAAAGTTAAAAAGATTTTATATACAGTAATATAGTAATAGTAGAGTTTAATAATAAGGTATATAATAATAAGGAAAGTCTCCTAAGCTAGTTAAAAGAAGAGTTTATACCCCTCTAGTCTACTAATAAGTATAATTTCCTACTTATATTAAACTAGGTAAGCTTCTATTAAACTAATAAAGTACTTAACTTACTCTACTAAAATTAGATATTACTTACTATTATTCCTTCTAGCTGTATATTTCTTATATAGCTACTTAATACTGTAGTTAATTAAGCCTTTAAAGTAGTACTTTAGTATTAGATAGAAGCTCTTACTACTATTAAGAAAAGCCTTAGTAAGATAAAGTTAATTAAGGACTAGCCTCCTTAACAGTAATAGAGGCTTACTATATATACTATTAGTAAAGCTTAAAAGGCTCTTAAGCCTAAGCTTATAGTATAATTATTTTAATAATATAAAATCTTATTACCTATTAATAGCTTATATAATTATAAGCTTAAAATTAAGAATCTTAAGTAGGTAAGCTTTAATAGCTAGTAGACTAAAATAAATAATTATTTAGTAAAGCTTATAGTACTAGAAACCTTATAGGCAGTAGCTAGGTAAAATACTAATAATATAAAGGGTAAGTTTATATTAAATAAGGAGGTTAAACAGGAGTTTCTAAAAGGTAAAGGTAGTTAGTATATACTATATAAGTTAAGTTTATAAAGTACTAATAAGATTATACAGCCTAAAAGAAAGCTTATAATAAGAAGGCTAAAATACCTAATAAACCTAAAGACTTAAACTATAGTAAACTTATAAGAAAACCTTAAATAATACAGCTTAAAAGGCCTACTAATATAGAAGGCTAAGCTTATTAAGCTACTAGAGTTATATAATACTAAAAAGTAAGCTTAGTAGGGTAGGTAAGGTAAAGTAAGGCTTAGAGCTAGTTAGACTTATAGAGTTACTATAAGGTTTTAAAGCTTTTAACTATATAAAAATCTAGCTAAATTAGTATAAATTTATACTACTTTAGAGTAATTTACTAGGGGCGTAGGCTTTACTAACTTATTTTACTACTATATAGATAATAGCTCTAAGTTTAAGTTTATATAAGCTAAGTTTAGGCGTAAGGTTAAGTATTAATTAGTATTATAGATAAAGTTAAGATAGCTATTTAAGATTACTAAACTTTAACTTTAGTACTAAGGCTTATAATAGAACTCTAAAGTACTTAGTCTTATATTAAAACTTCTAAATCTCTATATCCTAACTAAAAAGGTAACTAACTTAATAGTAATTTTTTTACTATAAGTTTATAATAGTTTATACCTTGCCTAAAAGCCTTAGCTATAATAAGGATAGTAGTAGAGCGTAGTATTATAATAAAGATAGATAGGATAGATATAAGAATATATTTACTAGCTAAGCTACTAGCTAAGCTTATAGAACCTTATAGAATAGTTAATAAAATAGTAGAGCTTAATACCTAGATAGGTAGTAGTTACTATAATTTAAACTATCTTAACTTCTTTAAATTCTACCTAAAAATACTTATAATGTTGCTAAAGATACAGCTATATACGCAGGAGCTTACAATTAATATAGTATTATTAAGAAGTATTTAAACAGTACTAAATTTAGCTTATATATATATATAGCTATATAATAATAGATTAACGTTGCTTAGCAGTTTAGGTTCTGCTATCTAATTAGTGTTAAGCTTCTGCCTAATCAGGCCTAGCTTAGCAAAATTACATCAGTTTATGCGGTATGCGGAGAGGCTGGAGCTCGCACGCGCCCCGACTTTGGCTAGGTAAGCTAGTGGGGGCGATGGCAATGACGAAGCCCCAAGCTGTGGAGCTGACTGCGCCACAGCAAGGCTGATTCGATCGAACCCTGGAGCTGTGTTGAACGTTTGAAGTGAGCACTTGGATATTTTGTAGCATATTAACGTGAGCGTGATTTTGTGAGAAGCCCTTAGTATGGAGTTGATTGGATTTCCAAGTGATCAAACTTAACTACTCCGTTTGACATCTTTATTATAAACCTTTGCGTGCTGCTAACACTAGACACTATTACTGTGGGCCTGCTTCTTAGACAGTTGAATGTTTGCAATTAAGCTGCATTCTTCCTCGAGAAGATGAAGCAACCAAGGTACAAAATCCAATGTCATATAGGATTTGCTAGACGTATACCGGCAATACTCGAGACGTACAGTTCTAACACGAATTCTGCACGTAGTCGTTGAGCTGTTACGAGATTGTACTGCAGTTTGGATTTAAGTATCTCGACTGACTGAGAGCCTACCTTGTATGAATCCTAACAGCGGTAGTCTTGTTCGAACTTTTGCTTGAAATTTGTTCGATGTAATCACGCTGGTGGAGAGCTCCTCGGGATTGATGATTTTTATCTGCGAACCGTGGATCTACTTGACCAAAAAAGATTGACATGTACGAATTTTCGCAAAAGCCTTGGTTTCGCCAATGGAGCATCTCGAAACTATCGTGGAATTGGAAGAATTGTGATTGGGATAGAGATCGTGGAACGGTGTAGCTCGCGCAGGCCGGGGTTGTGGGTCGGCTAACTTGATGAGCGAAAGTCGACGCAGGGTGCAGTAGCTTCCAGGGTGTTCGACGACGGCTGGCCACATCTTTCGAACTCCCCATCCCTCGTAAACCAACGCATTTGCACGTTATCCTCACTTGTGGCAGTCGTTCCTGCATACAATTGTTCTTGAAGGTATGTTTTGACTCTGGCTTTACCTGCTAAGAACACTACTAATTCAGAGTAGCTGTCGACTGGTTGTACCGAGCTACAGCCCCCGAGTCTCGTCTCTGGTGAGCATTGATTTTCAACTCCCCTCGAGAAATTGTACTGGGACACTCGACAATTCTCTCGCCTAGTCTCCCTGCGCTTCGCCTTGCTTTACTGACACTTTCACCTGACAGATCACCGATAAAAGCTCTCCCGACCCTCGCAGTGGCTTTTCCGTCTTAAACCCGCTCAACCCACCGTCTACCGAATACACTCTGGTCAACTCGAAACGGTTTATTCTAAACAATGGCATCCGAAACAGGTGCTAGCACTCCCGCCGAGGAGCCGACCCCCGCGCAGCTGCTGATGGAGCAGCACGACCACCATGTCACCGTCGAGGACGTCGTGGACGAGGAGGACGTTAAACACCCCCCGCCCTCTGCCTCCAACCCTGACGCTTCCGATGCTCCTGCCGCGACTCTGAGCGAGAAGGCTGCCGGCAAGCAAAAGGCAGACGACTCAGCTGCCCCTGCCCCGAAGCCTGCGAAGTCCGCCTTGGACACTGCGTCCGAGGATGCCTTCCCAGCTCTTGGTCCCGTTAAGCCTCGCGCCCAGGCCTCTGCACCCACCTGGGGCAAGAAGCCCGCTGCCGTCACCTCCAACGGCGTCAATGGCAGCAACGACGCCTCTACCCCCGCTTCCGGACCTGCGCTCCCCACCATGTCCATCCCTGGCCAGTACAACCAGAACATCCGCTTCTCCCCTAACCAGCTCACACCTCGCAAAGACCTGAAGAAGCCCATCAACGAGATCATCCGCGAGATCAACAGGCGATCCAAGGCCAAGCTCGAGATGAAGCAGCTGGGTGGCATGATCGTCTTCGAATCTACTGGTCCCGTTGAGGCTGTTCGCCAGTCGCTCAAGGACATTGCTAACGAGGTTGGCTCTAAGGTGAGTGTTCTACACAAATTGTGATGGCATGTATCTGACATTGTACAGCAATCTGTCGATGTACCCGTCCCCGCTTCCATTCGCGCTCACATTATCGGCCGTCAAGGTTCCAAGATCCAGGAGATCAGCAAGCGCACCGGTGCTCGCATCCAGGTCCCCAGGGCGGAGGCAGGTGAGGACGAGGATACCATGGTCGACGTTCACATCGAGGGCAATGCGTTGACTGCCGAGATGGCTCGCCGCGAGATCGAGGCCATTGTCAACGAGCGCACGTCGACTGTCAACTTGCGTCTCAAGGACATTGCCGCCGAGTACTACCCCTTCCTTGCTGGGCCGCGCAACGTCCATCTCGGAAACCTGACCCAAGGCCAAGATGTCGACGTCAAGATTCCCGAATACTACACCTGGCGCACTCAGGCCCCACCACAGACTGGTCGCAACCAGCCGGCTGTCTTCGTACCCCAAGCCAACTTCCCCATCCAGATCTCTGGAGAGCGAGTTGCTGCCCAGCAGGTCCAGGCCCAGCTTGAGCGTCGCGTTCAGCAACTCCGCCAACAGCTCGCCGTTGAGCAGCGATCCATTGAGCGTGGCCGACACCAGTTCATCGTTGGCGACCACCCTGGTGGCTCTCTGCACGATTTCTTGGAGGAGACCGGCTGCAGTATTGTCCTGCCTCCCAGCACCGACGACAGCGAGACTGTGTACATTGTTGGCCCACCTAACAAGATCGAGCAGGGTATCAACAAGCTCGAGGATCTCGCTGCTAGCATGACCATGGCCACCGCTGACTGCGCCCGAGAGCACCGAGGACCCAACTCCCAGGCTCATGCGCACAACCTGACGCGTTACTTGCGCCAGCGCCAGGCATTGGCTGAACTTGAGCGCCAGCACGAAGCCAGCATCGTCGCTCCTACTGATCGCGATGGGCCGACTGGGTGGGAAATCTACGCGCGAAACGGCAAGAACAGCATGAAGGCTCGTGGCGATATCATGAGCGTCTTCCAGGGTCACCCGCCCAGCCGGTTCGCCACTATGGACGTCGATCCCTTCTACCACTCCTTCCTGCAAAAGCGCAACGCGAAGCAACTCCGACAGGATACCGGTGTGCACGTAGTATTCCCTGAGGAAGTAGAGCAATCCCCAGAACTCATTCTTGTGTTTGAGGGTAGCACACCTTATGGCGAATATGCAATCCCACGTGGTGCGCCTCCAGCCGCCGAGGTCAAGGCCTATCAACAAGCTCTGCAGCAAGCTCAGCAATTCATCCAGAGCCTCACCAGCGAGCAGCCCGAGATTGAGTCGCGCGGTTTCGAGTCCAACCCCAAACTCCACCGCAAGATCGAGCAATACATCAACGAGGAGCAGCAGAACCTTGCCAACGACCAGGTTCCTGTTCAAGCTCTCTTTGGCGAGCGACGCCCAGAGGCTCACAGCCGTTCCAACAACAACTTCGCCATTCGCGGACCCGCGAACGCTGTGGACGACTTTAATGCCAAGATCCTTGCTTTCATTGAGCAGGCAGAGAAGGATGAGCTCGAGCGCAACCATGTTACAACTTTCGATTACCCGCAGAAGTACGCTAGTCATCTGGTTGGCAAGGGAGGTGAGAACATCCAGCGCCTGCGCCAGAAGTTCGACGTCGATGTCCAGATCGACGATGGCAAGGTCACACTCAAGGGCCCATCAGCGAAGGCACAGTTGTGCAAGAAAGACATCCTTGACATGGCTAAGAAATTCGATGATGAGGCGACCCACGTGCTGAAGATCAAGCCGCAGTACCATCGTGATCTCATTGGCGCTTCAGGCAAGCAGGTTGAACGTCTGCAGACCCGCTACAACGTTCGCATCAACTTCCCCCGGAGACAAAAGGAGAACGACGACGCGACATCACAAGCAGCGTCGGGACGAAACTCCCGTGGCCAAAACCAAGATGAAGTCATTGTGCGAGGTCCTAAGAAGGGCGCTGACGAGGCTCGTGATGAGTTGCTCAACCTCCTTCAGTATACTATGGACAACTCACACACAGACATTGTCTCTGTTGCTCAGAGCCAAGTTCCTCAGTTGATTGGATCCGGCGGCCGCGAGATGGAGAACCTCCGCCTTGCCACTGGCTGCCAGATTGATGTCCCAGGTGCCCGCGAAGGCGCTGATGGGTCAGGTCGTGCTGATATCAAGCTCAAGGGTACCAAGAAGCAGGTTGAGGAGGCCAAGAAGATCTTGCAAGAGCGTGCCAAGGTCTTCGATGACACCGTCGTTGAGACAATTGACGTCGAGAGGAAGCACCACAGGACTCTCATCGGTGGCAGCGGATCAAACATCCGCTCCATTGTCACTGCTGCCGGCGGGCCCGACAACTCTCGCGACCTGGCCCGTATGGTGCGCTTCCCCAAGGCCGAGTCCGAGGGCTCTTCCATTCGCGTTGAAGGCCCGAAGAGCATTGTGGAGAAGATCTTGGCTTCCATCAAAGCTCAGGTTTCATCTCTCGAGAGCCAGACAACTGAGATCCTCGAGGTTGTTCCCGACAAGCACCGTCTGCTCATTGGTCGCGGTGGCGAGACCCGCCGCTCCCTTGAGTCGCAGTTCAACGTTCAGGTAGATATTCCCAAGCAGACCGTTACTGGCGCTGCTCGTAGCCAGATCAAGATCACCGGTGAGCCGGCTCAGGTCGAGAAGGCCAAGGAGCACATCCTCGAGCTCGTCAAGGGCCAGGAAGGCGAGACTGTTCAGGTTCCTCGCTACCTCCACCACGTCATCTCAGACAATGGCCAGTTCTTCCGCCGCATGCGCAGCAACCACCAAATCACCATTGATCACGATGGTCAGCAGCCCCCGGCGAAGCCTGCTCAGGCCGAGGCTGGAAAGGCAAGAAAGGGCGCTAACGGCGCTCTGCCCTTGATCACGGACGATGCCGACAACGATGCTGACGCGCACTCGTGGGAGATTGTCGACAACAATGCCACAGAAGAGGGTACTGATACATCGGCCACAATTCCTTGGGTCCTCCGTGGTTCGCCCGATAGCCTGCCCAAGGCCCGCCAGACGCTTGAGGCTGCCATCCAGGCTGCTTCAAAGCCTTCATCGACTGGATACCTCATCCTGCCCGACCCGCGAAGCTACAGGTAAGCTTTACTTCTCCTCACCACACAAAATGCTAGGCTAACAGAAACTAGGCTCGTCGTCGGTTCGGGTGGTTCCACCATCAACGATCTTCGCAAGAAGACTTCTACCAAGATCAACGTACCCCGCGACCAAGCAAAGAACGAGGCTATTGAGATTGTCGGCAGCAGGGAGGGCGTCGAACAGGCGCACCAGATGATCTTGGACATTGTGTCCCGGAGCGGAAACGGCCGCCAGTAAAAACAAAACGCTTTGGAATGTGTGCTCGCACGCACTGAGCAGAGATGTGTATGATTGCATGTCATCACTATAATGAGTATGCATATTTACGAAACACAAAAATGGGGGTAGATTGATATTTTGAGCGAATGATGAATGTTTTTTATACGAACTTTTTGTTTTTGGTGTAGGGGGAGTGGGGATCTGATCTACTCTCTTTCTTGGTTGATGTTTTGTGGGGGGTTTGGGGGGTGGTCAAAAGGCATGTATAGGTTGGGTTGGGTTGAGTTGAGTGCATGGAACAAAAACGGTTTTCATCTCGCTTTCATGTAGGACATCTTTTAATGCTTCTTGACTCCTGTATACGTGTTGATCAAGCTATCGTCATCATCACAAATCATGCTTCAAGTGTCATTCCTGCAAAAAAAAAAAAGAGTTGCACATACAACACACGACTACGTCCCATCATCGAACCCCAGCCCATCCACCGTACCCAAAAACCCCAAATTACCCTCTCCAGCCATCAGCGCATTAATATCAATACCCCCACTAGTCAAATACCTCGCACTAACCCCCGTATTAATCCGCTCCGTAAGCAAACCCTTGAGTTCCGCGCGCAGAACGCCCAGTTCACCCTTCGACATATCCCTCGCCTCGCGCTCCTTCTTCTTGCGCCCCGCACCCCGGCCCCGCTTCCCCTTAGCTTCCTCCTGGAACTCCTCGTCGTCGAAGTCGATGCCCAGATCCTCCGCGCCCTGGCGCAGCACATCATCTTTGGAGTTCTCCTTCTCCTTTGCAATAACAGCGTCAGCGAGGGTTTTAGACAGTGTAGCGCGGGGCTTAAGGCGCGCGACGATGCGGCGGTCGATGTCGAGGGTACGTATGTAGAAGGCAGTTTTCTTGTTCTTGGGCGCGTCGTCGGCGCGGGCGTGGACTTTTGCGACGAGGCGGCGCACGCCGGCGACTTCTTCGGGCGCGCAGATCAGGATGCTGGACCCGGAGGCGTCGGCGCGCGCGGTGCGGCCGGAGCGGTGCACGTATGTGTCTGCGGCGCGCGGGAGGTGGTAGTGGACGACTAGTTCTACGGCGGGGATGTCGAGGCCGCGGGCGGCGACGTCGGTGGCGACGAGGATGGAGCCTGGGCGCTCTTTGAAGCGCTCGATGGAGCGGAGGCGCGCTTTTTGCGGCATGTTGGAGTGCAGGGGGAGGGCGGGGAGGTTGAGGTTTACGAGGTAGGGGGTTAGGCGGCGGACGGCGGAGATGGAGTTTGTGAAGATGAGGGCGCGCTTGTTGGGGTGGAAGAGCAGGAGGGAGTAGAGGTAGAGATCTTTCTCTGTGCCGGCACATTCGATGAGGCCTTCGCGGAGGCCACTTGCCATTTGGGAGGCGGGGTTGGCGTCGATGAACTTTGGCTTTTCTTCGCGGAAGTTGAGTTTCTTGAGGAGATATTCCATGGATTGTTGCTTGTTTAGCAGATCACCACCGCCTTTGGTCGCCTTGCCAGCGAGCTTTTGTTGGAGGTTCTTCTGGAAAGTTGCGGAGAAGACGAGAGTCTGGCGTTCGATTTCTGCGTCGTCATTTGCTTCTGTTGCGCCGCCTTGGATGTTGTCGTCTTGCTCAAGGATCTTGAGGATCTCGCCCAACTCTTTGTAATGTCCTTCGCTCAACAGACGATCTGCTTCGTCCACAACCAGGAAACGAATCTTTTTGAATGCTGCCAAAAGTCCTTGACCGCTGCTGATAACCTCCCACAATCGTCCTGGTGTACCCACAACGATGTCTGCTTTTTCAAGCTGACGGCGCTGCTTCTGCACTGAAAGACCACCAGTTATCGATGCAATGAGCGGGGAATCAAAGTCTCCTTGAGCACATAGCGCAGTCAAATGCGCCGTGATCTGATGCGCCAGTTCACGAGTGGGCGCAATGATCAAGGCGGTGGGAGCCCTTTCTTTCGAGTCTTTCGAAGCTGATCGAGCAGCAAGAATCGTCTCTACTATTGGTATACCAAACGCAAGAGTCTTTCCTGAACCTGTTGACGCTTTGCCGATTACATCTCGTCCCGCCATGATCTCAGGAATCGTGGCCGCCTGGATGGCAGTGGGGTTGGCGAACTTCAACTTTGCCAACGCGTCCAACATCGCAGTAGACAAGTCCAATTCGTTCCAAGCGGAAACGTCTACCTCCTCGTCGTCATCGTCGGGCTGGTTGGCCAGTATATCGAATGCGCCTTGTCCGAGTGTCTCGGTTTCGTCGAGCTGCTCGGCATCCTCTGCCTCATCCTCATCCTCATCCTCTGCCACTTCTTCTTCTCCTTCTTCTTCTTCTTCCTCCTCTACCTCTGGCTTATCTTCTTCGTCCACCTCTTCGTCCTTCTCTTTCGCTGCTAGTATTTCTGCGGCTTCTTTGGCTTCCTGCTTCTTCAATCTAGCTTCTAGCTGCCTTTTCTTCTTTTCCTCCACCCTCTTCCTTTTCTCCTCCGCCGTCTTAACAGGCTTCACAATGCCATCAGCAGCAGGGATAGCATCTTGCTTAACGGCCTTAGCTTTCTTCGCCGGCTTTGCGCTGACCTGCACTTCCTTGTCGCTGAACCCTTCCCACTCATCGTCATCAACCTTTCCTTTTCCTTCTTCATCACTTACGTCCGCAGGCTCTGCCCCGAAGGTGACGTCCTCCAACCGCTGAGCCTCGTCCTCATAGTATTGCCTTGTCTCTTCAATCGCCTGCTCTACTTCCTCCTCCGTCTTCGTAGTCTCGAACGTGATACGTCCCGTCGCCGCGTCCTTGACCAGAGCAACATCGTCAATCTCTTCAAGGCCATAGAAACCTTCAAAGTCTTCCAGGCGATCAGGCATTGACACGTTCTTCCATCCTAGCTCGTGGAGCTGAACTTTGCGCTTGGGTTTGTTCGAGGGTGGTTGGGGCGCTTTTTCGAGTTTCTGCCGCTTGTGCGTCTTATGCGCCGCTTTGGGAGCGTTGTGAGGGCGCTTCATGGCTGTATCGAGGTGATTGAGTGGTGCCGAGGGCTCGAGTGCTGCTCTAGAATTTTTTTGAAGAAAGTCGGCGAACGGGACTTCGGCCGCCGACCTCTCGGCTAGACTTGCCCTGGTGAATTGACACTACGGGTGGGGCACACACATGGAAACAACATCTTGAACATCGGTCTCTCGAAGAAGCAAAAATGGGGAAGTCTTCCAAAGACAAAAGAGATGCGTATTACCGGCTCGCCAAGGAGGAGGGGTGGCGTGCCCGATCTGCTTACAAACTCCTGCAAATAGACGAAGAGTTCAACCTTTTTGAAGGAGTCACTCGCGTTGTGGATCTTTGTGCTGCGCCAGGGAGCTGGAGTCAAGTGCTATCGCGAGTTTTGATCAAGGGCGAGAAATTCGGGCGCACAGGTTTGCAAGAAAAGCAAGAGGCGACGCGGAGATATGCACTGGGTCTGGATAAGAAAGAGTTGGTTAGAGAGGAAACCAAGGCACTGGCAGTGAAGGAGCCGCTGAAACCGAGGGAGGGTGTCAGGATCGTCGCAATTGACTTGCAGCCCATGAGCCCGCTGGAGGGTGTGACAACATTACGAGCTGATATCACACATCCATCGACCATTCCGCTTATGCTCAAGGCATTGGATCCAGATACTTATGACTCGACAACTACGACTGCTTCGTCACCTGTAGATCTAGTCATCTCAGATGGCGCTCCAGATGTTACTGGCCTGCATGATCTCGACATCTACGTCCAAAGCCAGCTACTCTGGGCCGCACTCAACCTCGCTCTCTGCGTCCTCAAACCAGGCGGAAAATTCGTCGCTAAGATTTTCCGAGGAAAAGACGTCGACTTACTCTATGCCCAGCTCAAAATAGTCTTCGAGAGGGTGCGCGTTGCCAAACCGCGGAGTAGTCGCGCCAGCAGCATCGAAGCGTTCGTCGTGTGCGAGGGTTTCTGTCCACCAAAGGGTTTCAAAGCAAGTCTCGACAAACCGCTAGGCGCAGGCACACAGATACCAATTCCTGAGGATGAACCGTCGCCGGAGAAGAAAGTCACTCGGACGGTGAGGGAAGATGGCGCGATTGTGCTGGATTTTGGGCCGGAAAGCGAAGATGAAGATGATGTTGAAGAAGGGGGGAGACGATGGATACCACCATTCCTGGCGTGCGGTGACCTCTCAGCATATGATGCAGATGCCACATATCACTTGCCCAACGACAGGGTCAGTCTAGACCCGGTACAGCCACCAACCGCACCACCTTACAAGCGTGCGCTGGAGATGCGAAAGACAGCCGGTGGAGCGTATGGAAAGACCAAGACCCAGAGATGAGAAGATAGCTGGCAATCCACATGAGTATTTCAGACGTCATGGTATCTTGTTCATGACTTGTTTCCTCACAAAGTTTTGCGACTTTCCAAAGTTTCTCATTTCTCTTCTACCGTCAATTCCCTCTCACATAATTCAATTTCTCCATCCACTAACATCTTCTAACCACTGCTCAACGATCCTTCCACAGTCTTCAACGTCAATAAATATTTGCTTATTTTCTTCTCCCTCTCCCTCCTCCTCGTCCTCGTCCCCTTCCCCATCCTCCCCACCCACCCCACCACCCCCCCAAAACGTCCCCCACTCCTCCCCCATCCCCAAATCCCCACCGCCCCAAACCCTCAAACACTCCAAATTCCTTTCCACCACATCCAAAACCCTCGCCAACCTCTCCGCCTCCCTCACGCCCCCCGCAATCAGCCTCGCAACCTCATCCATATCCGCCGCCACACCTGCTTCAAGCACATCAATTCTTTGTGTAACAGCGCGACGTACGTTCTTGATCTTGTTGTCTAGGCGGTGGGATGGGATGGTGAGGTTGAGAGTGTGGTGTGTGTTGGGTGGTGTGGATGCTTGGCTGTTGGGTTTGGTATGGGAGGATTGATCGCTGTGAGGATGCGTTTGTGGACTTTGGGTGTTTGGACTGGGTGGTGGGGGTTTTTGTGTGGATAGGTAGACACATAGTATCAACACGATGTGTGTGATTATGATGACGGCGAGTGTAACGCGCCAGTCCACAGTCCTAATGTGTTCACACGCGCGCGTTAGTTGCGAGATGTCGACGTGTAACCCGGAGGGCGAGTAAGTTAGCGTAAGGTACGGGAGAGCTATAGTGGCTGAGGGGTGGTGTGCGTATATAGCCGTTGCGTCCATATCGAGCAGTAGGCATGGGAATGTTTGCATACGTAGCATCCTGTGGTGGTGACGCGGTATATAAAAGGTGAAGTGGTGTTTGTAGTTTGTTGGGACGTATAGTGTATATCCATCCATACATGCATGTTTGTGTACCTGAAGTTGTAGTAGGCATTCGATCGTACGTTACCGCGAAGCCATTCAGACCTTTTAGCAAGTTTCAATACGGTACTGCTATACACCGCCTATAGATGAACGACTTGTACACACTCTACGAAGAACTATCGAAATGCCATAACGAAGCACACACATCCGCAAATCAAGTCACAAATTTGACCGCAACATCGCCCAAGCCCTGTGAAATGCCTCAGGCATCAACGTAACATGGTTAGTCGGCCCACCACGCGCTGTTCTTGCAACAGATGCATACTCCATGCAACGAGATTGCTGCCTCCGATAGAGAAGATCAACCCCCCTACATGTTTTTCCGCCAGAAATGGCAGAAGAGGCTGTATATAGTATTCGTTTCTTGTAGAGAGGACATGTTACAAAGCACGGCGACAGATGTAGCTGCACGTTTCTTGGTAGTAGCCGTGTTGGTTGAAGGTCTCACATCACCTGCGAATATTATCAAACAAGCCTAGCCTCGACTGCTTGTAACAAGACCTCGATGATGCAAACAACATTGAAAATGCTGTTACATTCGACACTTTCTACAACTATAGACCTGCAGCTTGTATATCCGCCTATTTCGAGACTCCCATCTTCGTCCTGGGCTTTTGTAGTGCAAGGGCATCTTGAAGGGCGGCCTTCCAAGTGACAGCCAGGGGTGTGGAGTGGTTAGCATCTCCCTTGACTTTGACATGTGCCATGAGACCACCTCGAGTTTTGAATATATTGTTGCATAATGGACATTTCAGATCGTTCAGATATTGTTGCGCTTGCTGCTTGGTGACGACCTGACCGCCTGCCCACGCAACCACCGTCTGGCTTGCAGGTCGCTCACTCTCCGTATGTAGTATGAGGGGACTGGAGCCGCTGGAACCCGCCCGATCAAGGTCTGATAGATCTTCTGGGAGATGGACTTGGAGGTGGACGTGGAGACGGCGTGACTGAGTTGTAATTGGCATTATTGCTTGTTGAGGTTGTGTGAGATTCTGCTCAAACGGAAGTTGAAGGTAACCCTGGTCTGTCTTGCTTCTCTTGCGTAGCCCCTCTGTCTCTGCGCAGAGCATCCCGATCTGACGCTTCATGGCCTGTACCTGTTGGTCGAGTTCCTTGTACAGCGGACTTGCACGCACTGAGTCAAGAGCGAGCTGTTTTGGCAGAAGCAAAGGCTGAGGCGCCGGTGGAAGCGACGAGTGAGGCGTAGCTGGCGGAAGTATGGACTGTATCGCTGGCAAATCTAAGTCCCGAGGGCTCTTGGTACCAAGAATACCGACAAGGCCCTGTGTAATGAGTGACTTAACACAAGCAGCAGCGACGCGAGTCTCGAGCGTCTCCGTGCTTACATCCCGAAACCTCCGTGTCTTGATGCGTAACGGAATCTTCGAAACCACGACGTTGAACAGATCTTCCGTACAATCGTAGTCGCTCTTACGGTCAAACATATCAAGTGTACACGAGACAAGGTGCTCGAGAACATCTCCATCGTCAGCACCGAGCAAAGCGGACAAGACAGCTCGCCAAACAAACACATACCATCAGTAAGAAGCTCATACTTATCCTCGACCCGCACCGAGTCGTACCCTTCCACCACAAGTACTGCAGCATGTCGACACACGCTTCGGCGCACGTCCGACTCACTCATATACCTGACCCATCCCCACCAGAATTTATCCGGTCGGTACGACGCTGTCAGGTCTCGAATGTGCTGGAAAACTTCCCTGTAGTTTTGGTATGAACGTCGGAAAGCAGAAGTTCCGATTACGGACAGAAGCACATGGGCTCGGTCGGCGAATAGTAGGTTCTTGTGTTCTACTGGTACGGCCTCTCGTCTGGTTGGCACTGGGTCCCTGGCGAAGGACATGATTGATGACGACGAAGAAAGCTGAAGAGAAGGTGAGATGAGAGGAGGAATGCAGTAGGAGGCGAGAGAAGGCGAGGCGAGACGAGGCAGAACAGGAGAGGAGAGCGAGGCAGGACCACAAACAAGCTCGTTCCTGCCAAATGTGTCGAGTCGAGCTTCCTTCCCTAGCACACGTACACAAACACAGTCCACTGACAGGAAGGAAACATCAAGCGCGCGCATTCTTCATGGCCAACTTTTAAGGAAGATAGTTCTCGCTTTCTACGTCAGTCACAGCCTAGAAAAGAAGGCATGCATCGACGCGTCAAGCAAAAGGATCAAGCAAGCATGTCCAAAAATCGTTTGTTTACATATACCTACACGACTACGTCTTTCCAAACACGGTTTTCAGCCGCATAAGCTTCCCTTGCAAGACCCCCTTCAGCCCACCTGCGCCAATGGGCACCTCGTCGACGCCGACAAAACGTCTTACAAGCAGATTGAATATGTTGCCGAACCCGAGCGCCATGACAGTGCTAGTGAGGATGATGACGTTGTACGGCATGCTAAAGTCGGGAGTAGGAAGCGGCAGCAACAGGGAAGTGGTGCGGACATAGATGCCCTTCCTGTCGCCTGGTGGTGGGGAGAGAAGACGAATGACAGCAGGCGCGACGTCGAAGCCACGGTTCGCATCAGGCGGATACTCTGTGTAGCGGAGGATGGCCTTTTCGAAGTCATATGTTAGGGTCAGGGTGGAGCTTGGTGGGATGACAAGGCGCAGCTCGAGATGTGTTCCACGCTGTCGGTCTACGGCTGGGCGGTAGTAGGTTTCTTTGATGGGACTTTCGGGCGTTGTGTCGATGCGGGCGCGCAGAGTGTGGAGGTAGGGCTTCATGAACCAGGGGAGGGACTCTAGATAGACGATCTCGACTGCTTCGGTGGTGGATGGGTTTCTGATGATTGCCTGCGTACTGCCTCGCTCCTGTCCGTGGCCGTTGATGGACCTAGCGGCGAAAAGTGGGGGTTCAGCGCGTATCAACCCAGTCTTCATCTGCTGCTCTGGCAGTACGAGATCGAAATCTGCGCCAGTGGGAAGTTTGTAGCACCGGAGCGTATCATAAACCAGTCTGGTCTCGAAATACTGCTCGGTTGTGTTGACTTGTAGAGTGCGCTCTGGTGGGGTATTGATGCAGACAGTGTTCGCGTCATCGCCAACGTCGTCGACCAGAGGACAGCCACCTTTCAGCGGCCTACCAAACACCTCTTCCAGAGTCCAGGCTGGCTCAGTGCCCTTGTTCAGTGGGTAGCAGGTATCATGTGCATTGTAACCCTTGGACGTGTCGCACTCGATCTGCTCGATAGGCAGGGGGCGGGGTATCGGGTTGTCTCGTGGACGCTTCGACCTGGCGATGTCCAAGACCATGTCCACAGTTTGCTCCATCTCCACAGAACAGCTTGCGCCACCCTCCTCACAGACTGGGCGCACGTCAATTGCCATGGTCTGGAACGACGCGTCGAACAGCTTGTGTCCATCTAGCAGGCTTGAGATGCCCGCCTTGCCTTTGCAGGGGAGCAGCTTTAGAAAAGGCGTCAGATTCTCCGTGCAGACGACCTCGTGGGGCAGCGTGCCATGCAGTAGATGCAGGTTGGACGAGTTGCTGTGGTCACCTTCGGGCGAGAAGGACATGACGGGCCGGATCGTCTTGGTCGCATCGATGAAGTTCAGCGAGGCGCAGAAGAGGCCAGAAAGGGCATTCGTGAGGGTCAGCCATTGTGCGAATGCTCTGACGTGTGTTAGACGTGTGCGGCGCGTTGGTGGGGATGAACACACTCTGCCTCGTTGTCTGCTTCGACCCACGCCCACAGCTCGACGCCGGTGCCGCCTTCACGCGCGCCATTCCACGGGCGCTGGCCCCAGTTCTCGGCATCCCACCGCCCCACGCTGAACCTCAGATGCAGCTCTTTGGCGCGGGCATGCTGCAGGATCTGCCCCAGAGAGCGCGGGAAGAAGCGGAAGTTCTGCTGCTCGAAGGCGGCGGCACTCTCGTTGCTGCGGAAGTTGAACGAGGCAAGGAGCGTGTCCTGTGGAAGGGGCCGGAGGAGCAGCTTCTCGTCGTAGTCGGAGCTCCCGAGGGCGCAGGCGATCAAGGCATTGAGCAACAAGACGGGCAAGAAAGAAAGCATCGCAGCATCGCAGCGTCCTCTTCGCTAAAGGAATGTGTGGCGGGGGTGTCGTCGCTGGAGGTTGCGGAGAGTGAAGGCCGCCGTGCATGTGATTGGCGCTTGGCGCTCGTCCATCGATCGCGTCGCGATTTCTTCGGAGGTCTGTTGTCCACGCCGTCCCTTCCACCACTCAACGTGCAGCATCCCAGTGAGAGTAGACATCATGGCCGCCGCAGAGACGCGCAGACTGCTTGGTATTATATACTAGACTATCGTGACCTGAGCAGACGACTAACTCCCCACAGAGCAGCTCATGGGCGAGCAGCTCATGAGCGGATCCGACCAGCGCGCGCCCCAGCTCAGCATCACCGACCCCAAGGTCTGCCGCTCGTACCTGGTGGGCAACTGCCCCCACGACCTGTTCACCAACACGAAGAACGAATTGGGTCCCTGCCAAAAGGTTCATAACGAGGCCCTCAAGACCGAATATCAGGACGCCGACGCCGACCAGAAGCGCAGATGGAGCTTTGAGTTCGACTACATGAGAGACATGCAACACCACATTGACAGCTGCAACCGCAAGATCGATCAGGCTCAGCGACGGCTGGAGAAGACACCCGAGGAGATTAGGCAGACGAACGCCCTGGTTAGTGCCTCGGCGCATTCAACTCACAGTCCATACTAACACTTGCGCAGCTCAAAGCAATCAACGAACTGACCAAGTCTATCGACGCCGGCATGCTCGAAGTCGAGATCATGGGCCAGGAGGGTATGGTCAACCTTGCCATTCAGGAGTTCACCAAAGTCCGCATGAAGAAGGCTGAGAAGGAGGAGCGGGAGAGGGAGCTCAGGGCTTTGTCAGACACGGGAGGACCATCAGGTCATCAAAAGCTCCAAGTCTGCGATGTTTGCGGTGCGTATCTCAGTCGTCTTGACAATGATCGCCGTCTAGCAGACCACTTCTACGGGAAAATGCACCTCGGCTACGCCCAGATGCGCAAGTCGTACGAAGCCCTGCAAAAGGAACTCAAGGGTCGAGCTCCGCCGCGCGACGCGTACCCACAGCGGGGCGACAACGACATGAACGGCTCGCAGGGCGGAGGATGGGGCGGTGGTGGAGGATATGGAGGTGGCGGCGGATACGGTGGCCGAGGGGGTCGACGAGGCCGCGGCAGAAGAGGTGGATGGTGATCATTCTTGCGTCTGGCGTTCAAGGTGTGTCTATGACGATTCCCAAAAGGTTCACTTACTACAGCATTTTGCGCGATGTTTAGCTGCCATTGTCTCGGCAGTACTTGTACAACAGAAGCGGCTTTGGAGACGAATCAGCGTGTGGCATAGTCCAATCAAAACTGTACGCATACTCCAAGATGCACTTGACATGCCTCTAACCTTCATCAAGGGACTGGTGCGATTCTCGGACAAACAGCCATGTTTTCTCAATTTCACGTACGCTAACAGAGGTGAGTATTACTTTTGATTGTCACTGTGTGCGATACGTGTCTCTCTAGTCTGCTTTCTCTCACTCTCACCATCCTCTCACTCTCAATCTCGCCAACCAGACATCCCGGTTGCGTCTTATGATATTTACTCAACCCCCACGGAGCGCAACTTCTCTTCAGCGTGATCATGAAAACGGGCATCAGTTGTAGAAAGAGGATTTGACAAGTGACTGCATTCATTACTATAGGATCTGTATTCGATCTCTTCTGTGCGCAAACTATGTGGGTATATCTTCGTTGCTTTGAAAGGAAAAACGCCAGCAAACATAATCACCATCTGGCACTCTCTGCGCCAGATGCTCAAAGTCTTTGAATCACCATGTGCGCAGAGTCCTGAACTCCCATCGCACGCGTTTAGCACCTTCAAACGCCGCTGTACCCGCGGAAGTTCTCACACGGCAGGTAGTTGTTCTCAATAAAGGCCGTATCCAACCGAATACCATACACATTAGTCCACTCGCGCTCGCTCGTCAACGGAGGGAGTTTGACCTTGACCGTCCCCTTGACATTCTCAATCTTATTCGGCGCCGTGGTCACGCTCGTGTTGAACAGCCGAACCATGTTATCGCACGTCTTGCCGTCCGCGAACATGGGCTGATTCGTCACGTTCTTGTAAAACGCCAACGGATACATTTCCAGTGTCGTCGGCGAAAATACCGAACTGGCTGATGCCTGGCCGGAGATCACGCTTTTGGCGCTGAACGATGTGGTGCCCGCCGCTGCGTTAGGCACCGCGCGGTAGGCGTCGCAGGATGGGTCGAAGGTGGCGGGGAAGGTGTTTGTCCCGTATGCTACTGCGCCGCCTATCGCGAGGAGGTTGGTGGCTGTCATAAGCAGAGAGGGCGACCATTTGAAGGATGAGCTGTTGTCGCCTAGGAGGTCGAGAAAGGGGAATTCGATGCCCGCGCGCTGGTGGAGAATTAGTTTTTGCTCTTTGCGTGGTGGTACTAGTGTCGACTCACAGAAAAATCAGGAATACTGAAGCCCGAAGCTTGCACATCGTGGTCATGCATCGATTGAACAATCGCCGGGTACATGTCTGCGGGGAACGAGGGAAGAAGAGCGCGATACGCTTTCTCGAGGATCCGGTATTGAGCGGGGATAAGTTGGCGTGCGAGTGTTAACGTGATGGGCACCACTGCTATTGTGCCGTTCAGGGTGCCTGTGGCATTGTTGGGGTAGGTCGTGGCGATGGGGTTTGGCTGGTCGTGTGTCTGGCAGACTATCGCGGCAGCATCTGGAGAGATTGTGGGTTGTGCGGCCGAGGACGATGAGCTTGCGCTGCGGACTGCGAGGACAGAGAGAAAAGCGAAGAGGACGTAATGTAGTTTAGACTCGCGGAGACCCATAGTTGCGTAGTGTTTAGAAGTACTCGTTCGTTTCAATGCCCTTGCTCTTGCCCTTGACACGAACGAAAGTGAATGAACAAACAAACAAACGGATGAACAGATAACACGACCCTCGAAACAGCGAAACCGCTCATCTTTAACCACCCCCAAAAACAAAATCTAGCAGCTAACTAACCTCACCATTCTCTCACTAAGGAGTGCACCATCGGTCCCTCCCAATACACTACCAGCAGGAGTACCCCATCTCGGAACCCACGATGCCGCGCCCTAGCACACCCACTACACCACACCGCACACCCATAGTCGGCTACACAAGCACCCGGGCACGCACACACCTCGTGTCGTCGTCCCTATCCAGCACAAGCGACGCGGTCTAGTGCAAGGAAGCAGACGTTCCCGGATGCTGATCGAGACGGTGACGCCTCGCGTTGAGAGTTGGGAAAGAGGACCCGGCTTGGCGCGCGTAGGGTTGCTGCATCACATGGCAGGTGGGCGTGGACGCGTGCTGCCGTTGAAAGGTTCAGCGGGATGGAGAGGTTCCGAGTGGGTGGGGCGTGCGCGCTAGGGGTTTGGCTTATGCTTAGCTTGTTGGTGAGGGTGTTTAGTGACTTTGGATTGTTAGGGCTTGGGTTTGGGGAGCCGACGGTGATTGTGATTTAAGGGCGGTGTTGTCCTAATATCATCATGTTGAGAAGTTGATGAGGATTTTGGCGTGGTGGTTGGAGTTGGTGTGAGTGAGGTTGAGGTTGAGGTGCCGTGATCATGGCCTGATCGATGAATGATGCGGTAAACATATGACCGTCTATTCAAAACTATCAGAATCGCTCAATTCCTCTCTCAACCTGTCTTTTTCTACTCATGGGCCGTTTTCAATTGCTAACCCTCATATCTCTCTTCACATTCGGACTTGTTGTAGCTTTCCTCTGTCATCGTCGCGACTCGCCTCTGATGACCTCGCAAATCCCCAACAACGACATGTCTCCCAAGAGCGCCATAGTCGTAGGCTCAGGCCTTGCCGGTCTGAGCGCAGCATCTCAACTCATCTCTCGCAACGTGTCAGTCTACCTGCTAGAGCGCGGAGCAAAGCCAGGTGGAAACAGCATAAAAGCTTCCTCTGGCATCAACGGCGCACCGACACAGTACCAGCCCGTGACTGAACCGTCCGATGCGTTCTACTCCGACACCATCCGGTCGGCGGGGAAATCCATGTCGACTTTCACCGCCCAGCGCGAGAAGCTCGTACAGACGCTGACGGAAGGCTCGGCCGGCGCGGTGGAATGGCTGGTTAAAGAGAAGGGCGTGGATTTAAGCAGAGTAGCACAATTGGGCGGCCATTCGTATCCGCGGACACATCGAGGCGCAGGACAAGCTCCGCCTGGCTTCGCCATCGTCAGCACGCTGCTCAAGGGACTGAAAGAGAGCCCACTTTTCCACCTCCAAACTTCCTGCACAGTGACAAAGGTCCTGCAGACCGAGAAGCGCGTCACAGGCGTGCAGTACACGTGCGAAGACGGGAAGAAAGAGGAGATTCTCGGCCCGGTTATCTTCGCCTCAGGAGGCTTTGGCGGCGACGCAGACGGTCTCCTTGCACGCTACCGCCCCGATCTCGCCGGCTACCCGTCCACGAACGATCCCCGACCAGGCACACAACCTCTTCTGACTGCCGTTGGAGCGCAACTCGTCGATATGGATCGCGTGCAGATCCACCCATCAGGCTTCATCGACCCGGCGAATCCGTCATCCCCGCTCAAGTTCCTCGCCGCCGAGATGCTGCGAGGCGAGGGCGGGATCCTTTTACTCGCCGGAAAGCGCTTTGTCAATGAACTTGATACACGGGAGAATGTCGCTGGGGCGATTACTTCCACGGCTTCGACGTCTGCGTCGGACACCCCGAAGCAATGGCCCGTTCAACTCCTCCTCGACGAGGGGACATACAACGCAGCGAAATCCCACATCGACTTCTACGTCTTCAAGGGCCTGATGAAGAAAATCACGCTTGCCGAGCTGGACAGCGAAACCGCGCAAACGGTCACGCAGTACGCTAGTATCGCATCTGGCAAGACGCCCGATCCGTTCCAGCGCGTCGCCTTTGGGAACTGGACGCTGACTGATCCGAAGCCCGAGTCTGTCGTTTACGTGGGTAGTGTCACGCCGGTTGTGCATTTCACCATGGGGGGCGTTTTGATCAACGAAAGGAGTGAGGTTGTCGGAGAAGATGGTCAGGCTATCCCCGGGCTGTGGGGCGCGGGTGAGGTTACGGGTGGTGTGCATGGGGGGAATAGACTGGGTGGGTCGTCGTTGTTGGAATGCGTGGTTTTTGGGAGGATTGCGGGAGGGAGGTGTGCGGAGGTTGTTCAGGGAGGTGTGTGAGTTGTTGTTCGGTGAATACAGCGATTGCTTGACTCACTTTTCCTAATGTGTATGGAAGGATGAGGTTGGAACGCCACATGCGAGTTTAGAATGTTGAGAACAGATTTATCCTGTTCAATTTGCCGTTTCCCGTGGGTTTGAGCCGGGATTGATCGGTTTGTTGCTTCCGCTGCCTATCTCCCTCACGTATCCGCTGATGTATCTGCAGGTATCTACTGGCAGGAATGCAATGAATGTCTGCAATCATTGACTCAGCTTATCAACCCACCATTTACGCACCAACCCGCCGCTGTTACTTCCAATGTCCGCTCGATCCCCGGGGATAGTGACACGCATAAGTCCGACTCGATGTTGTATCAGGATTTATCCAATCCCTCTGTTGAGAATTCACAGGTCAGCTTACATCATAATTTGCCTAAACAGGACGCGGCTACGACTACAATGACTGTCTGACATGGCCATTCTCGGTGCTTCTTACTAGCTCGTCCTAATGACTCTTATTCCCGCCATGATGCCCCACTGTGGGTCGCCTTATGCCTCGTAAGCCTTGAGGCACACTATCTGTATCTTGCTGTATTTATTCGAAAGTCTCTCCCATGTGCTTTCGCAGAGCATTTAGCTTGAGCAATCTCAAATACAACTTTGTTCACTCTTCTGCAAGAGCTTTGGTAACACGCCCTTCTACCAGAATGACTTCCAACTCTATACAAAGATGCTGCGTCACTGGCGTAAAGCATGAAGGAACGCCCAAAGGCGAGGTCAAGAGAATCGATGGTGGTATGCAACCTTGCCATTGCCACCAAAGATATTTCTAACGCTGTTGATCTAGTTCGCACATACTTCACCTACCCCGAAAACGGCGCCACTCAAAACGCCATCCTCATCATGCCCGACGTGCTCGGCATAGACTTCCTGAACGTCCAACTGTACGTCTCTACGCAAACCAAAACAGAAACTACCTAACACCCTCCCAGCATCGCCGACCAATTCGCCGCCAACGGCTACCTCACCGTGATACCCGACTACTTCAACGGCAACGTGATGCCCTTCAACCCGCCCAAGGAGTTCGATTTCTGGGCCTGGGTCAAGAACAACATGCCGCATCCCGAGACGGTCGACCCGGTCATCGAGAACACCATCAAGCACCTGCGCGGCGACCTCGGCGTCAAGAGACTCGGCGGTGTGGGGTACTGCTTCGGCGGCAAGTATGTGTTCAGATGGTTGAAGGAGGGTGGTCTTGACGCGGGGTACGCGGCACATCCGACCTTTGTAACAGCCGATGAAGTCAAGGGGATCAAGGGGCCGTTGAGTATTTCGGCGGCGGGTAAGATTTCCATCTCCTTCTTGAACTTGTTATCTGTGCAATACTGCTTTGCTATACACTCAACGCGCAACATTCACTGACTATGATGTCCTAGAAATCGATCAACTCTTCACCGCTGAGAAACGCCGCGAGGCTGAAGACATTCTTAGAGATCTGCCTGTGCCGTATCAGATGTTCCTGTACTCCGATGTCTCGCATGGTTTTGCGACGAAGGGCGATTTGTCACATGCTAAGGCGAGGTTTGCGAAGGAGCAGGCGTTTCTGCAGGCTGTGTTCTGGCTTGACGAGTATGTCAAGAAGGGGTAGGTAGCCCTTTGGTTATGTTTTGGAGGATGGAAGAGTGTTCAAAGTGTATTGCTCCATTATTGAGAATTTCTAGACGCTCTGTATATTGGTGTTGGACTTTGACGCTCTCGCTCATTATCTGTCATCTGGTTCCGTGCATGTGCTATATACTGGTGCTCCCCCGATAACTGTTGAAGTGTATTTTTATGCTCTACACAGTGCAGATCTTGACGAGCCGATGAGTCATTTTTGCACATCCAATAATAACACTCATGAATATTCGCCTAAAGATCAAACATGTATTCTACATACAACTACAGCACGTTGAAAACTAGTTCTCCTGTTCAATCCGCCTTTTTTCGAGGTATTGTTTTGAGGATTCAGTTGTACGGGTTCTCGTTCTCAGGAAGTCGTCCTTGGTCCAAATCCACCGAGCTACTTTGGGGTCTATTTGCTCGCTCTTGAAACACAAATCTACAGCCATTTCTGCATGGTCACAGGGGCTGATTAGCATGAGTTGTTTCGATTAGGAGTTGGTGGTAATAAGAGAAACATCCTTGGCAAGGCTGGACGAATCCATACCGTAGTCTTCGGCGTATTGCCCGTTTCGGTGTAATGCCCGGAACACCAAAACCACCTCTTACATTCAACCCCTCTTCTACAGCCCACCCACCCAAGACAGCCTTGGTCGAACGTATCGTGATCATGGAGCCTTGCGAACAATCAGACCCAACGTTGGAATGCTCGCCCCACTCAGAAGTCAACGGGCTTTTCCCATACAGCGAAAAGGTCATATTCCAAGACTCATATTTCTTCCAGAAACCTCATGCGCCAACATCTCTGCCGTCTCCAGCTGAGGTAAGAGAAAATCAATCAATGGACCCCCACGCACGTAATATAAGGCGACCGCGACCTGTGCGTTTCCCTAGCATGGGTCTGTTAGTAAAATACGGAACAGAGATAACAATTGCTGAGGCACAGTGCCTCTTGTTTATACGTAGAACGCTTCAGACAGTTCCTGTTCCCGAGGTGTATGGATGGTGTAAAGATGATAATCAGGTATTCATTTATATGGAGTTGATGGATGGCAATACACTAGAGAAGAGCTGGGAGATAATGGTTGAAGATGACAGGTTGGCGATATGTCAGCAATTACGACATATGATAGATGCATGGCGCAGTCTCGAGAACAGTTATGATCCTCCTTTCATTGGTAAGTTAACGCCCCTGTACACCACGGCGTGTGGCTGTTATCGTCTGGCAACTGGCGTCTCAAATGAATTACGTTTCACTAATTGTATATTAAGGACATGTTGGCAAACAGCCACTATTAGACATAATCTTTACAGACACCTGCTCTCAAACCGCTGGTCCCTTCTCCAGCGTCACCGAGTTCCACAACTGGTTTACTTCAACATTTGGCCCAAATAGGGATATGGATGTTGAGGACATATCAACACATCCGTACCGCTCCTTTATCCCAGACGACTTTCCTATTGTGTTTACACATGGGGACCTACACCCTAGCAACATCATAGTTTCTTTAGGGCCTAATCCTCGTGTTGTTGCGATTGTTGATTGGCATCAATCGGGGTGGTACCCATCATACTGGGAATACTGCAAGGCTAGGTGGACGTCATGGATTGGCAAAGAATGGGAGGCCAACTACTTGCCCCTTCTCCTAGACCGTCACGACTGTTATGATTACTGGGACTATTTTGTCCTGGCTCGTGGGGCATGAAGAGCAATGTTGCAAACGGTGAATGTTAGTAATGTGCCGATTGTGAGGATTGTCAAGGGCATGGTAGTAAGCGGAAAATCGCCGGCAATGCTGGTTCAGAAACTATACATAACTGACTAGTAGTTAACTGGGCTAACTATGCAATATAGCCTATGTCACGGAGCCATCCTAGCGGGTTGGAGATCTTAGGTGTCAACAGGATCTAATTTCTTGTATAGACAGTGCATTTAGGCTTGACAACGATGAGTTGGCTTATTGTGACCCTTTACAACAGCAAAACTCTGACTATATACATTTCAGAGATAGAACAATCTCCTTCTAAATTCCACGATGCTGTAACCTTGTGGCATTGACAGCCTATCACCAAAAGACGATTTGACGGATCTTCTCTTAGTTTTTAGGTGCTCCATCAAGAATCTGCAAAGCTGATTGATCCATTAACCCTTTCTGCACAAGTGCAGCAACGAATTCTCGTAGCCATGTTTGGCAATTCTGAATTGCTACTCGCTGCTTTGGTCCCTATAACAACTTAGCAAAGGCATTCCCAAAGAGAGGTATTACTAACCTGAGAGCTAGCTGAGATCAGACTTCGGGCTGGTGCAGGAACGCTGAGCGCAACTTGCTCAATATAGTCATGTGCAGTTGTGTCAGACCATTGACTACCATCTCCTTCAACATCCACCACGTGCTGGTCAAGGACTTGAGCTAGCGGCAGAACTTGATAACGACGCCTAGTAGCTACAAGATCGTAATTGCGTTCAAAGAAAATTTGAAATCCAGTTGCTGCATCTCCAGAGGCGTGAATGCGTTTTCCAATATTTGGGTCAGCTGCTGATGGAATCCATAAGCCCCAATGGGCGGGAAAGAGTGGAGACTTAAACACGACAAGATAGATAGCGCGAGGCATAATGCCAGATCTGGTTTGTTATAGAAGGAATATGAACTGGATTTTATAAGGTACGCCCAAGTCTGAAACTAATTTGCGCAGCGAGGTACGAGCGTAGCAAAGTTACTCACAGGTTTAGTGTAGGAAAGCGGGGAATTTAACTAGTTTAATAAACGTTGCTAAGAAATCCGCAGCGCTAACTCTGCACGTAACGAACCCTAATCTTACGTTAGCACAGACGTTAGTATAATTAACGTTATTAGTTAAAATCTATTGCTGCCTGCTGTTCCTTTTAAACAGACTTTTACTCCTCCTTTCTTCTCCTAAAATTTAACCCCTGCCTTTAACTTAAACACATTCTGCTCTATAGGCTTACGCTGGTAAATGGGTAGGGTCTGAGATTCTACCTGGGTACCCCCCAAAACTCAACCAAAACTAGTCCGATTTAGGCAGTTTTGAGTTCATTTTAAAGCCCTCACTCAGGACTATCAAATAGGGTCGGGGTTGTATTATCTTTTGTAAGTATTAGAGGAGCTATGACCAATAGAAGAGCCAAAAAAGGTGACCCAACCCCTACCCAACCCAGACTTTTGGGTAGCTAAATAACTTCTAACCTGTTACAGCTAGCGCCTAGTTAGTATAACACGATAGAATGCGCTAGCCTAGGGCTACAAAATAACCCAAGAATTGCCCATTTTGGACTAGTAGATAAAAAGATATATCGGAAATAAGAAATTTTTAAAAAAAAGATTTACCAGCCTATATAGGCTACTATAGTTAGACCTTTCTAATTGTAAGCTTTAGTAGCAGATAGTTCTTTTATTAGAAATAATACGCACATCTTATATACTAAAAACAAGTTAGTTCTGTTCTATTCATGCTACGCTGCGTAATGCTTTACTTATTTATTATTTTAGGTTTCTAGCGTATTTATGCTTGTTGCACAAGCAGATAGACGCAACACACTAAGACTCTAGTATAGTAACTTAGTGTAGAAGCTAATACCCAGCCCCTTTGTATACAGTAAACATTAGTGAGAGTACACAGTGATAGTAACAAGTATGTTAAGAAGAAGTAAAGTAGTGTCGCCCTTTTAGTACTTGTAAGAGGATGGGAATGTGTTGAGATAGTGCTGCTTTACTGTTGCAAGAATCTCTAGAGGCGTCGTATTGTACTGTTGGATTTTGATGTTCTTGTTCGTTCTTTCCCAATCTACCTCATAGTACTAGACAGTGCATGCGTTTCTTGGCATGTTTTTGTTGGAAGATCGCCTGTTATCTCATCATTTCTTTTGAACCTGCTGTTCTGAGAGTCTCCATGCTTGGTGAAATATGTACGCGCCGAGGCGTCGTGCTAGGAGGTGGAGGTAGAAGGTTGCGCATGTTAGGTAGCCAGGCATAGTTACTGAAACATTCAATCTGACAAGACGCAGGGCGACGACGTTTAAAAGTGGAGCGCAACGTAATGTTCAATATCTTCGAGGGTTGTTACAGCAGGCAGAAGTGTAGTCGATCTTATATTCGTTGTGACTAGTATACTAGCCACGGTTCTCCACATCTAGCTAAGAGAACGTTACAACGATGTATATAGTGTATTATTACCAATGAGCGATTCCTACTTTCCACCATGATACCCGTCGAAGAAGCCTTCCATCTTCCACCTACTCCTCAGCAAGACATCCCTGAGTTTGTTGTCTTTCGCTACCTTCCAGTACTTTTCGTGGAAAGTCGCAATACCGTGTTCGTAGTCGTTCCACGATGGGATGTTGACCGTCCAATCCGGATCAATCTGCTTCCATGGCATGTTCCCATCCCGATTGTGGACATAGTTCCAAAGGTCCTGTTCTGGTGAAAGGCCGGGGAACTTGCCTTCCGTCTTGCCGACGGAGAGATACAGTTCAAACATCTCTTTGGATGGCTTCAGTACAACGAACCCAGCGTTGAGACGGGTTCCGCGCTCCACCGGGTATGGATGCTCCTTGTCAAAAGGTCCACAATTGCCGGCCATGATGTACGACGACGGCTGCGGTGCCTCGTCACTGTAAATCTTATCCGGCTTTTGCAAGTTGGGAGAGTCTTGGGTAGCGGGGTCGTCAAATATATGGTCCACGCGTTTGGTGACAACGATGTCCGTGTCGAGTAGCAACACCTTGTCGAATTGAGTGAGCTCGAAAACGTGCAGTTTGTCCATGACATGTGCCCATCTTTCTCGACGAGGTTTGACCCAGTCAAACTTGATCTCGCCAACCTCGATTACTTGAGCACCGTCCTTTGTGAGCTGCTCCCGATTTTCTACCGAGACCTCGCTGGTCACAAGTACAATAAATGGAATGGAAGTGTTTGTGCGAGTTGCAGGATCGTGCAAGAGCTGGTAGATCAGCATTCTTGTGCCGGTGAAGTAGTAATCCTCGTTTTTAAAACCACCACGCTTCTTCCTGCTGTTGGAATTGGTGGCCAGAAAGACTACGAACGCGTTCTTGCTTGTGAATGCTGATTCGATTGATATTGGCGGAATGGAGGTGAGATAGCTTTCTACAGTGGCATGAAGCCTTGTAGATGAACTATTGAAAACAATCAAGTAGAAGACAAATACAGCCCCAACGATGGCTGCCATGATTCGGAACAGACGAAGATCGATCATTGTGCTGAGAAAAAATGTTCGAAGATAATCAGGATATGGAGGACTTGGTGGCGTGAGACAAAGTTGTAATGATAGTAGGAGCTTTTATCGCATTATCTGTCTACACAAGTGCTTAGCAGCAACTTCCATAGCTAGTTTTTGCGTGAACGAGATTATGGCGCGCAGTAACATGGCGCGATCATCAGGCATTCTCGTTTAAGATCCGCCGACGACTCGCACATACCGAGCGAATCATCCAACGGGACAGGAAACTTGGGATATCATAGGGGTTGGTGGCTGTCTTGCCTAGAGACGCTAGCCAGCGAATTTGACAGGGATGAAATGGGGCTCGGTATTTGTAGTTATGTGCTCGCACGCTACGACGAGCCGATGACTTGCTTTTTCCACATTCAATGTTTTGGACGCGTCCCACCCCCGAAGGTCACACATATTCTCAGCGTTTTCAAGGTATCGAAGATGTCAGGCATGTCTCTGAAGAGCATAGTCATCGCTTTGCTGTGCATCGTTGTGCTTATAACCCTTCCTTATACCTCACATACGGCCCTACGGTTCTCTAATGCAGCTTTGCCTCTCCACAAGAGTAACAACTACGCGTACGCCGCGTTTCTCGCAGCGCCGTCAGAAATCACCCATGACGCTCCAGATGAGGATGACATGTATTTCGTCAACACACGCATGTTGATTTACCAGGCCTTGTATGCGCCAGCCACCCGCACAGTCAATTCGTATCCTTTTGTTGTGCTGGTAACACCAGATGTTACTCAGAGCAAGCGGCAACGGCTTGAGGCAGACGGAGCGCAAGTGATCGAGGCACCAAAACTCGCACTCAAGCACAGTACTCGGAAGCAGTGGCGGGACGTACTCACGAAGCTGCGGCTTTTTGAGCTTACGCAGTTCGACAAAGTTCTGTTCTTGGACTCGGACATGCTACTTGTGAAGCCTATGGACGGTGAGCGTCTTCCTTCAGACTTTTGAGCCTCCTTGCTGAAGTACTATTTTAGGAATCTTCTCGGATCCGGCTGTCGAAGAGCGAGCGAATAAGAACGACACGTCTTTGGAGACGATGCCTGCTGACGAAGCCCCACAGCCGCAGTCCTACCTCTTTGCAGCCATTTCGGGCTCTGGTAGTTGGAAGCACGTGTTGCCACCCAAAGGAAGTCGGAGCATAAATGCAGGATGTGTTGTCTTCCGCCCTTCGCTGGATTTATTCAATTACTACGTAAGCCTTGCACAGCCTGAACTTGAAGGGCGCTTCAACGGGCGATATCCGGAGCAAGGACTATGGGCGTACGCCCATAGACCCGAGGGCAACATGCCGTGGGGTCGTTTGGACCCGAACTGGAACATCAACTGGGCGACGCACAGAGACTTGGAGTATGGGATTGCGAGCCTTCATTCGAAATTTTGGCAACTAGATCATGATCCTTTGTTGAGGGATTATGGCCTGTCTGTGAAGTGGACCATGGAGGGGTACTGGGAGGGACGGGAACGAAGGGAGATAAGCTGAGATGACTATCGAGAAGCCTAGAGATGCATAGGCTCAAAGGCAGGTGTGCTGCGACACAATTCCCAAAACTCTGATCCACATCTGGTGCCTCTCAAACATCAGTGAGCAGTACGAGCGAGCTTGACGCTGTGACGTAACGTACGTCCAGGTAGCTAGTGTTAACTCTAGACCTGGCTTTGAACAAAAGTATCGATATCCTTAGGAGTATACTGGTGGACAAGACTTGAGGACGAAACTTGATGACGTTGCTTTTTATACCAGTTGTTAAGAATACACAGGACGTAGGCTACCTAGTCTCGGGACCTGCAGTGATTAATACGAACATCCACTTAGGGGCTTGCGATACAACGGAGATAACGCATGAATCAGATCTACGATTACTGATCAAGTGAGACGGCAACGTAGTTATGATGTACTCACTATCGAAAAGATAGAAAGCGGAAATCGCGGCACCGTGGCAAGCCTCAACACTCATCCCGGAAGCTACATAGCTTCCACCAAAGATAGTTCTACCATCTGGATTCCAGGAATTGGATGTAAACTCCCAAACTTCAATAGCGATTGAATACATTTTGCCATTCTGGAGGGCTGATATTGAGCGTCACTCTGCTCCAGGTTTCCAGCTTTATAACAGAGTGTATCGTCTATCCACCTAAATGAGAACGTTTTGCACGCGAGCAGTCATGACCGAGTGGGTTGGTCCATGCTGGTTTTGCACTTGTGGAACGTTTTAAATGGATCGGGTCGATTGAACGCGAGATATCCATCAACATATTGCGGATGCAGAGAGACGCACTGTGATAGGGTCGGTCATAAATTCCCTAATTAAGAAGTGTAGCGTGGGATATTTGTGGGGGTAGCAGAAGAAAAAGGAAATCAACATGCATTTATAGAAAGAAGTGTAAGGATCTACGACGAGGCGAGAACCCGGAGATAATGTGATGATGGGAGGTCTCAACGCCACCTCTTCAAGGTTCCCCACCTATGAGAAGCAGAGTTGAAGAGAACAGTAAGCTAAAGGTACTCTTTTGGAGTTGTTGGAATATCAGGTAGTAAGGTTGTATTCTCTACAAACATTTGTGGCATTTAACATGGATGCTACGGTCTAGTTGTTTCCGGTTTTTGACTTGGCGCTAAATCCTGCGCTAGGGAACGGGCCCAGCCGTGTTATCCCTTCATGTGACGTCCTTCACACCGCTGCTACAATCTAGGCCCAAAAGAAGAACGGAAGTGGTGCGCGTTAGGGTGCAGCAGTAGAAGTCGGACGCCCCTTGTCGACAGTTGTAGAGTACAGGCATGCGGTACCACACAGGTCACTGAGACACCCAGGTACCTTGTTCAAACATTAGAACCAAAACGACGTGTCTTGCTATTTTCTCCCAATGATAGCCTCTGCGTAGTAGCCGATGATGCCTCGCGTTCTTTACGTTTCATTTGACACAATGCTTTCCTCCTAATACTTGTTCCTTTCATTTTTCTTTCGGGTTTTTATTGACCTCTACACTTCATGCAAACACCTCATTGCCCGGCATGCTCGGTCGCTCTACAATCCAATGTCGTCGGCAGAGACGTGCCTTCTATTATGTGGTTTCTATTGTATCAGTTATCTTTATCTGGAGGCACATGGGCATTATTCTTGTCTACAACCAGCCTGAACTGATACCCGAGAGCCCTGGACGCGAATTACGGGCGATAAAAGGCTTGCCAGAAAACCAACTTCTGGCCGAAGATCTATCTGACCCTAGGTTGATCGAGTATGGTGAGCTTCCCGCACAAACGCAGTTGAAGTTGGATGCGCCCGCTGCCCATCCTCCTCCCCCTTTATCAGTTTTGAACGCACAACCCGCTTTCGACGAGACCCATTTGCTTTCCACTCACCATGGGGATGTTTCAGTATTGGGATCAGTGAGCGTCGCAGAACCCAGATCGCCTGAAGAGGATGCCTCAGAAAGCCTATACAGCAACAACATCGACTCCATATATGAGCATGTTGACGAGCACGTCGAACGCGCAACCAAGTTAACACACCCCGACGACGACGACACGCATTCACGAGATATCGAATATCTCCCAGCAAAGACAGACCAGCAGCTACACCATCGTGAACAGGGGCATGATGAGCACTCAAATCACGCAACCCACAACATTGGATCCGAAAGTGGAAAGCTTGTGGCAGAGGATAGTGTCGATCGCAGTGACGATATACGACCTCCGATCCAAGCACTCAACAAGATGACGGCTTGGTCAGAGCACTATGTGTTTCCCACTGAGGATGGCTGCGAAGCCACTAAACAAAAGGCAGGTGCACTTCCGGATCTACTCATTTTTCCCTTCGAGGATTCAATCAAGGATGTGATTCTGGAAGGCTGGGAGGATGACTGGATTTCAAAGGCTCGATACACAGGCCCAAAGCTCCAAGAGCCCAAAATCGACTTTGTCTACAACTGTGAGTAAACATCTCCGCGCCAGAAGAAACTTACATTGATGTTTGCTTGCAGGGATAAATGGATCACAACAGGAACTGGTTGATACCATGCACCCTTACGAGGTCAACTCTACCTTGAATGATGATGAAGGTATCTGGGTCGCCTCGCATGGTTTAAATCGGTATCGTGAATGGGACGAATTGCGTTACTCTATGCGCAGTGTTCAAAAGTATGCTGGCTCCTTCACGAATCGTATCCAGATACTTGTGAACGCTTTCCAAAAGCCAAAAGCCAATGGCAAGGCAAGCACGGTGGGAAAACAGCGTCCCCTCTGGCTCAAAGACGACGTCGAACAGGTCCAGGTCCTGTCTCAGGAGCAGTTTTTTGGACCCGATGAGAAGAAATGTCTACCTACCTATGACTCTCTAACCATCGAAAATCAATTGTACAACACCAAGTCAGAAACAGATAGGGTACGTCTTGTCTCGATCGGACCATGCCAGTGCTAATACACGAATATAGCTTTTCGCGCTTTCTGATGACATGATCCTTGGTAAACCGCATGCTGCATCTGATCTTTACTCCCCTCTGTTTGGGCCTACACTAGGCTTCAAGGACAACGCATACAACACGCTACAGCCGCCCTCGGAAGTGGACGCATTACGATTCGGCGAAAAGCCCTTCCTTATCTATACCTCATGGTTGCTTAATCGGCGTTTTGGCGCTCGCAAGCGGAAGGGTCAGGTACATTTCGGCCACTCGCTCTCTCGTAGCATCGCTCGAGAGGCTATCTCCAGTTTTCCTCGGCCTGCATTGCTTAGTGCTACTCAACGCTTTCGCGGCGAAACCGGGTTCCAGCTTTACTCGTGGTATGTCATGTTTCACTACACCATGGAACGTCACCGCGAAGCGCTTCTATGGAGCTACCTCATGCTACGATCTGATAAGAATGAGGATGGCTACCTGTCCTGGCCTGAGCGCAAAGTTATCCTTGGCCATCTCGTCGAAGGTATGAGTAACGAGTCACCCGAAGTATACCGACGTCGTGAATACTACCGAGTAAGCGATCATCTCGAAGAGGCGGGTCTCGAGCCTCCAAAGGTCAATACAGATATCTTATGGACAAGCCTAGACGGACCGGTGATGATCAAGGATCTCGACTGCGATGCTTTTGACACTGAAGACTGTCTCGCGCCGGGCTTCTCTATGGCGTCGGCCGATGCTCAAGCCCGCAGCCCCGTTTTCTCATCTGCCGCAATCTTTAATCGAGTGGCCCGCGAATCTCCTCGCTGTGGGGACTGTCTTATCAAATTGCTCCTTAACCGACAACGCGCAGGCCTCGCTCCTTTGCTTCCCTTAGCCAAGAAGCCTAAGCAGCGAGAGACGGTTATCAAAGCGCTCATGAAGTACCAGTATACTGTTGTAGCACCAGATGCATCGTTTTACATGGTTACGGATGCAGAGCAGGCGAAACATACCCTCCTTAAACCCTATCTCAAGCGTGGCAGGCAGACGGGGCAGATTTGCTTGAATGATGATGTAGTCACTCAAGATAGAGGAGAACTTGATGCACTTCGAGATGTCATGCTCCAGCTGTTTGAAGGGTTATTGCCCGAGCCAAGTACCTTTGAGAAATAGAGTGGGAGGAGAGTGTCTTTTGTCATATAGCGTGACGATCAACTACAGAGGCATCGAGTTGGACCGTGGGTTTCTTACCATCATGAATAAGCTACATACAATGATTCTTGGAGTATAGGATGGAAGAAGACACTACAAAGTCAGTGACAAGTGGTGGCTGTTGAGGAAACAGTACTTCTTTCGAACAAATAAGTTCCAACAGCCTAGAAGGCCTTCAAAGACGTCAGTTCCAAATCTGCGATCGCAGATTGAAGCTTTCAGGGGGCAGTTTGACAGTGCTCTCCTGACCTGGTGCTCGGGTGCGATTGCATCAATAGTCCCCGGCACAGGTGGTAAGGAGTGAAAGAGCGACGCAAAGAAAGGCTCTCGCAAAATTCTAGCCTAATGATCCTTGCCCAATATGCTCGGCGCCAAATCCTTCTGCTAACCAGAAATTGTCTCACCGACTGGTTGGGGGCTGGGATTGGCCCGCTCCCCTCAGACGATCGATCGGAGGCGCTGCTAAAGCTCGCGCATGGCAAACTTCGCCGAGTGCGAAGATTGCGTGATTTGGCGGAGAAAGAATTATCGGTGAACGTCCTCCCAGACGAGATCTCAAAAGGAACATGAAGGACAATACTAGTATCGTATCAGCTCACCATTCCGCTAGATATTGACAAGGGTGAGAGGCCCCCGACGATATAGACATTGTGACTGGCCGCAACTAACGGGGCTTGGCTATGTAGAAACATGTTACGCTTGTACTTCCTCGATTTAGCACCGCTACGGTCACTATGCCCCTTCTGAATAGTAGCAAAATTGCTAAGGAAATACGATGTACACTCTGATTAAGAGCTACACACGACCCTTACTATGTGTCATTTTTTGCCACCCATTGAGCCAGAATGGAATGTCTGCCACCACGTAGCCAAGGGGTCTACAGCGTGCGATGAAATCCTGCGCTTTACTACAGTTGGCTGTCCAAGCTGTCTTGCAAATCACCCGAATGTGATGTATTATTATCTCATCACAATCTACTGTTGTGGTCTTTTCTATTAGAGACCAAACATATTAGTATGTTGTCCCCCCGCGGCCGACGCCCAGCCGGCCTGCACACCAGCACAGACTCTTGGTTTTTTTAGCTAGCAAATGAGCAGAAGGAATAGCTAGCTGCCAGAAACGTGAATATTGGGCTCCACCACGGGTACAATTACCCGGCTTCGCCGTGATCAACAAGCAAGTGCCGTCCCGTCATTAAACCACGCACAAAGAAACAAGTAGTAGTTCTATCAGCCGAACTTATTCTATCGAAGCCGTATAGAGTCAAGGAGGTGGAAAACAAAGCTAGTTCAAGAAGTCAACATTGCCGTCTCCATAAACGAGGCCTTGCATGATATATTTACATTCATCAACGATCCCTTCCTTGACCAGCTATCTTTCCTCTCGCTCGACATTCTCCGTTTTGAGTGACCACCGTCTTTTTGTGTTGAGCATCTTCTCTATTCACTCGTTTGGAAAATTCAACTTCGTTACTCAAATTCTACTTCCCCATAGCCAACATGAGGTACTCTATCATCTTCGCTACCGCTGTCGCTGCTTCCGAAGCATACAAATATGACAACGACGATACACTGGGCCCCAGATCGACCGAGAAATTTGAATACGCCACCATCTACCCTGGGTATGGCAAGAATCCCGTCACTATGACCTCGCAGTATCAGGCCTTTCCGACGTGTGTCTCTGCCGACAATGAAAACAAGAAATGCACCAAATGGTCCCAGGATCAATATGTATCCACTGTTATCAACGACTTCGACGGCAATAGTGCAACTATCACCAAGGTCAACGAGATTGTTACCGTCTACCATGCCCAGAGCACACGTACCCACACCTCTACCATCACCCATAAGTCCAGTGGCGATGCTGCTGCAACTACGGAATACAAGTTATGGCATGAGCTTTACGAGAAGATTTACGAGGCTGAATTCAGTATGCTTGGCAAGCATGCTCTTCGTGGCTATCCTGGATCTGGTCTTAGCAACAAAGACGAGTACAAGCAGCCAGTACATGTCAAGGAGTACAAATATGGCAAGTGGGATGAGTACGACTTCATCCTCGACTACAGTCCCTCTAAGACTGCGAGCAAGAGGGTCGTGGTTCCTACATCTGAGACCACTACATACTCGAAGACTGGTGTCTACACTATTCCCGCCAACGATGTGACCATCTATTATCCCGTTATTCAGCCTGCCGAGGCTACTGCTGTTGCTAGGGCAGGAGAATCATTCACCTATGGTGGCGCCTACATTGACGTCAGAAGTCCTGGTACTGTCATTGACGCCTATGGTGCATATGAGACGAAGGTCATTGACAACAAGTTCAAGACGGAGAACATCCTCAAGTACACCACGTTTTATGCCTCTACCATTGGCAGGTACCATATGGTGAAGCCTACCACCACGGTTTATAGTGAGTATACCGAGGTCAGATATCCGACTACTCAGTATCACGCTCCCGGTGTGTACCACTATGCGGCTGAGACCATCACCATCACCAAACCCAACCAGGCGTACACCTATAACGGGTACCAACAGATCGAGACTTACGCAATCCCCACGGTAACTCCCGCCTATGAGAATGGCGAGTATGCCTTCTACCCCACTTCTACTGTCCTTCCTGTGCAGACTTCATTTCCCACTAGTTCGATCTTCCTCGGACCTACCTCCAATACGGCTGGCCCTATCCCTACTGTTCTTCCTGTCGAGACTGCCTTTCCCAATAGTTCTACCTTGAACACTATCGGTCCCATTCCTACCGTCCTTCCCGTAGACACCATTATTCTTAGTAGTTCTACCTCGAACACTATCGGTCCCATTCCTACCGTCCTGCCTGTGGAGACTGCCTCTACTACTGGTCCGATCTTTCCCGATCCTTCCTCAGACTTGATCGAGCCCAGGGAAAGCTTTGGTAGATCTGATTCTGGAAATGTTAAGCGCGGAGGTGTTCTCCAACGCCGCAAGGTCCTTGACATCAAGAAACATACTGGTAGCAAGAGGGTTGTCCTTATTTAATCGTCACTTGAGGATGCATCTGGCCTCTTAGTATTCATTGTATTATAGACTTGGTAGATATATATTTAATTCTTCTTTTCCACTTGTTCTATGTATTTGCGCTGAATCGGTCTTGTATCGAATGTTACAGTCGGTCAAGAGGATGTTGGATCTAGTCATGATTCTAGTGTCTGAGTAATTGAATGGCTATTGATGCAATCTCATCTATCTGCGCTAATATTTACCTATGTGAGAATGACTTCTACATCAAACACTATCAACCACTACCAAATCGCTGTTGTTGCATGTTTGCATCTTTTTGTTTGTTGGCATTTTTGGTAGGCTGCGTGGGTTGGTGTCGAAGATAGAACTCGTGTCGTCGTGGAGTCAAAAGTGTACACTTCACCTCACTGGCGATGTAACGTTCATTCTTGATAGTTTGAAACTAACATGACAATATGTTCTCCACAACGACTGCTGCTACGGCAGCCTCAACAACATGATGACCCAAGTTGGAACAACCCAGCCACGTGACTGCATACTTCACTGTCAACCAATAACAACCGTACTCTCCCTCAACCTTACCACCGCATCCTCCCTTCCCCCATTCGTCCTTGCCTCAGTCATCAAGTCAGGCTCACCAAGCAATAGCGACTTTCCCACAACTCTCCACTTTCCCTCTCCTTGCTCACCCTTTCCAGGCCGCAAAAACCATACTCTCCGCGGTATGCAAGTCAAATCCAGTAAATCAGTCGGTACAGCAGTTCGTAAGTCCTCACTCGGCCCATCATTAAAGTGCTCATTGACAGATATGGCACTGACGAAGGCCTGGTCATAGTTGAGTGCGCATTGTAGACGGAATGTGTTGGCACCAAGGTAGTATATGGATCGCGGGTCGGTGAGCCATGTCAAGAACAGGTGAGCATCTTCCAGAATAAAGGCGGGGGGAGGTAGGATGCCTAGTAACTCTGATATCGGTAGGAGTTGTGCAATGAAACTTCGCGCTGCGACATGTAGAGAGGGATTAGGTGCCAGGTCCTTGAATATGTCAGTGTTGTAATTGGCTAACACAACGTCACGCTTCAGCTGTGACCACAGCCGGGCAGTGAAGGAGTGACCATTCATGATACAGCCAGCAAGGAAGCGGCGACGGGCTTTGTCAAGAAGAGTGTCATGATGGATGTCCGTCGTGGTATCGAGATAATTTCCTGAGACATGTCTCACCGGTTGTGTAGTCGTTATAGTCCTGGGGAAGATCTTGTACGTAGGGATGAGATCTTCTTCCTTGATGCTCTCCCAAGGTGCATCAAGAAAAATCATGTCCAGTTCGATTTTTTGCTCTGATATGCGATGAATGCCGTTGACGCCCCCGAGTTTGAACCTAGGGAGCGAAAGATCCGCTCCAGTGTGTCGTGCTAGCCACGTTGGCCTGCCATTCAACGTGAGTGACTGTACGTCGATCACGCTCAAAGAGTAGGTTTCTCCCGCCGCAAGAGCCAATAATGTGCTAAGATACAGGACTTCTTCCTTGGTCTGCAGTTGCTGTCCCACGTACGCAAGGCCTAAACCATGCATATTAATCATGATACTTAGCCGGTCAGCCAGATGTGTACACCCCTTCTGATCCACGCTGTTATGCCTCCCCATCAAACTACTCCTCCATCCGTTTTCCGAATCATATCCTTTGTCAATGCCAGCGAAGATCCCCAGACCTTTGAATTCACTTAACACATCACTCGCCCTACCAGGGAGTAGATCCATCGCACTCCCCATGATGAGATGGAGATTAACCCATTTAATCTTCACGGTAGACCCTCCAGGTCCATTCACGACAAAAGTAGCGTTGTGAATAACATTACACTGCCTCTTATCACTCCACGGCTCATGAACATTAAACTCATGAAAACACCACGCTCTTTCCCACCATCGCGCAGCATTGACTTTGTGATAGAAACTCACAAATGCATCTCTTTCGTCTCCCTCAGGTCTCCACGTCTTTTCATATTTCATCTTGGCAGGATCATATTTCTCATGCAGCGCCGCTTCCCGCTCATCGAGGAACACGTCTTCTAACAAAACTACAAGTCGTATGCACGATCGGTAGATGACATCCATTGCCGCAACGGCTTTCTGCTTATCGGTCGAAGACTCCTGGTCGATGCAGAGTTGGTCCATCCAGATGCCCTCGCGGGGATGATCCTTATCACTCAAAATCGCGTCGACAAATGGTTTGCTGATAGGCCAGCTGCCATACCTTTCGTATCCCTTCGGCAAGAAGTCTGCGGATCGCCAACAGTATGATATAGCGAGGTACTGGCGGACGTATAGGCCTGTCTCGTCGAAGGATGGGAGGGCCGAGTTGGGGAAGATGAGGCGGAAGGGTGTGTCTAGGATGGTGGATGAGGAGCGTTGGGTGAACAGAGATGCGACCGATGGATTCCATGTGGTTAGGTTTTGAAGTACGAACGAGGTTTCATGATGGCTCTGAGAAAGCTTGGAGATCGCGTATTCGAAGATTTCGGCTTTGTTTTCGCGTGTCAAGGTTAGTTTGAAGAGGTCGTCGCCGAGCAGCTCGTAGGTGGCATCTTTTGGCGTTGGGGAAGTTGTGTCAAGGGGCGAAATCTCTGACATGTTTTCTGGCAAAGACGATGATACTATCAACGATTCGGAGTCTACCAATACCTAGTGGTGCTGTTTAGGTGTGCTCAGTGTAGCAGCCATATTTGGGTTCCATGAGTCATATTTACACCTCGCATGCGGAAGATTTCCGCCCGATCAGGCCATCCTATAACCATGTTCAGTTCTAGAAAGGAAAGCCCAGAGTTTGCCGACTGTTGCCAATCAACCCGAAACATCACATGCCGCCACCAGGTCACTGATGCCATAATAGATGCCAAGTCGAACCCCGCACTTTGTCATTGATCTTTGGGGTGTGTATTGGTTTGTGTTACATAATGTGTGGCTTAGTATTCATGCCCGCACGTGAAGTGTGAGGATCAACACGGATACCCGCTTATCGTTTTAACGAAGCCGTTTCACGTGGAACTAATCAAGTCTCTCAACAGTATTGGCAAGTGGAAGCTTCAGTTGTCATAGTGAGATTCTTGAAGAAAAAAGCAGCACAGAAGGGCTCTATAAGCGGTTCGTCACCGGGATAATCGGTAATTCAGCGTTCTTTGCAGCCATTCAACGGCGAGATAGGCGTGAAAAGCATGATTTCATGAGCGCTCGTCGTAGCTGCATCGTCGGTATTTCCATGGTCATCATTTGGGAGAGCTCCGCTGAATCGAGAAGATTCCGTGGGTGCAGTTATATTATTGCACGTTTAGCTGTGCCAGCTTTGAGCGAGCACCGTCAAAAAAAAGGCAATAAGACCACTGCAAACACTGGTAAGTGTAAAAACAAGCCTTGTATTATCAGCGCCAGTATAATGGACTGAGGGACTCTCTATGGAGATAGGGTATCACGGCGAGAAGAAACAAGTACTTTGTCCTGCATATCGTTTGGTTGCTCAGGCAGATGTTACGTAAGAAGTGGATTACTTGAAGGATGAAATGGCAGGTCTCAAAACAAAAGTAGCGATGATACCAGCAAATATATATGAGGCTCCACCAATAGACAATATTAAGAGTGGCGCCCAAACAGGTTTGGTCAGGGAATATTATAGTGATGGCCTGGAATTTGCTGTCCATCACGAATGACATGCAAAAGAAAGCTCACGCGTTATCAAGCACTGCTAATGATATTCCAAGCCATAACAGCACGGTACAGTACAGTGGCTGGGTGTGGTAGAATTTGAACCCTCACAGCTATAACTGTACTGACCTACATCCGTGTTGAATACCAAGCTGTTAGTCTCTTAGGTTCCGGTGATTTTAGATGTTTGCAGATGGTACAGTTTTAGACGGAAAAGCATGCTTTGTAACGAATGAGTTCCTTATTTACTTTCCACCCCCAATTCTAGTGCCCAAAAGTCAAAGATAAAGAGAAACACAACAGCGCTGTACCAATCTCCGAGTTGTCCATTTTATGTACAAGTTGCTGACCAACAGTAGGAAAGACCTAGTCCATCATGACGGAGCGGATAGTGCCGAACCTATCGCTGAAGTTGGCCTCGACAGCCTGGCAACCGCCGTTACCACCCAAGTTCACCGACAGACCACCGCAGCCAGCCTCGGCATACGCCCAAGTCTGAGAGAGAGGCCCAAGACCGAAGTAGAAAGATACGGTGGTGCTGTCAATGTTGTAACACTTGCGAGCTGGGGGAGAGGCGTGGTAGGATGGGACGTTGTTGCCCTGGTTGTCCAAGCTGGGAACCTGTAAGTAGGAATGGTAAAGGATGGCCAGAAAATTCACTTACCAATCAGCATTGGTGTACTGGTTGAGCTTGGAGTTGGCACGGGCAATGATCTCGGGGTTGAGAGAGGCGGCGGGAGCTGCTGAGGCAGTCATGGCGAAGACGCCAGCAAGAGCGAGGATGGAGGTGGTGAACTGCATTTTGAAGAGTTGGTGGTAGTAGAGTTGAGAGTTCTTGTGGAAGTGGAAGTGGAGGTGGAGGTGGGAGTGAAGTAGAAGAGTTGTTGTTGTGGATTGTATTGTTGATGTGATGGTTGGATGATGACTTGAGAGAGCAGATTCCCTTCCTCTTTATATGTCATAGAGGCTCTGTCCAAGAGCCGTGCTCTTCCGTGAGATTCCACATTGTCGTGGGCCAAGACGGATCTCAGCGTCAAACGAAAAGCTGATTGTCAGATTTGAGTCAGTTGTGTGTATTCTCATGCTCAGGCCAACTCATCGTTTACCTTTTGCCCAAGGACTATGCGCATAGCGCAGATGTGATAGGCTGTACAGCATCAAGGTGGTATTATCTCGAGAGGGCAAGGTTCAGGATACTCCACCAAGGCGTAATTATTTTGAGAAAGGCAGATTTCTGAATGCTCCGCTTAAGCGTTGTTATTTCTTCGAAGAAGGAGGTTGCCGGCTCTGCTTCACGGACCAATATTCTTTATTTTTTCCTAATTTGCAGCTTATCCCAGCGTACCTCTGGTTGCCTAACACGCACGGGGCTCCGTTCGAAACATTGTGCCCTTGTTAGAGTTGTTCTGGTGACATTTCGGTATATCAAACATGTAAGCTGCATCATAACAATGAAGCACTAGTACTATGATAGAAATTTCCGGGGATCTAAGCCTTGCGTCTGTGTAGGGGCTCTGGGGGCGGTTGTGGCGTTGCACATGGGGGCGGAAATCGAGGTACAATCCTTCATGATAAACGGTCTAGCGTGAGTGAGCGCTGATCCGCAGTAATCGGGAAACAAGCTTCCGTTTCGGTATGATTGGATACACCCTTGCCCAGTAAGCGCGAAGTGGTCTTGCGCGAGTTAAAGATAATACCAAGTCGATCGTCAATAAGCGCTAAGTACCAATCAAGCTTTTAGTTCGGAACAGCGGCATACACCCTTGCTAGCCGGCATCCGTCTGGTTGCCTATCATAGTGAAACACCACGGGAGTGGCTCAAGGCATCCACTCAGATACAGTTGACCAGTACGTATCCCGACGTGCCAACGCCCGTAGAACGCCTTGCGACAGTTTTCTTTACGATTTGACCTATGGATCACGATTTGACCTATGGATCACGATTTGACATAGTTGAGAAATGGAGCTTCGACCACTCTCTGCAGGCATCGGGCTGCAGCCAAGCGCTCCATTGCAGTAATTCAATGGAAATGCAGCATGTGTGCAAACATTGAAGTGACGAGTGTATCAACAGGGCTATAGCTAGCACGCCTGGATATGAATGTTTCAGTGCAAAACATAGGCTTCAAATGCGTTATCTAAGTTGCATGATCCAATATCACAATGCGAAATGGAAATCGTCCAAGAAACAGTTGTAAGATGAGCTATCTATGTGAAATTGAGAAAGTTCAATACACAGTGATTTCAACCTGACAAAGGTTGCTTCCAGAGAGACCGTTGTTCGGAGGGTTGGTTAAGAACCTTTGGCGGCATTCTCTTCGATGTTCTTCATGATGTTTGCGGCTTCTCTTGCATCCTCCTTAGTCCTACCATCAAGGGTCTCAACCGTGCTGACCCACGCAAACCGCTCTCGCCAATACCCAAACCTCTCTTTCGACCAACCCTTTGGCCCCTTCCAGGTCGTCTTGACCCAATCGTACTCGCGGGACATGTTCCCCGTCATGTCGTAGATGCCTTGACCGTTGATCTTGATCCAGGCAACAGCACCTGGAATCCAGAAGTTCAGTGACTTGATATCGCGCTCCTCGAGCTGATACTCGTACTGAGCCCTTGACTTTTCTAGTTCCAGATCCTTGTTTTCGAGGAGGTCAGAATTGTCGTCGTCCCATGGGGTCAGCTCAAGAGGGCATCGAAAGACCCAGTCAGAGTCCCATCGTCTGTCGACTTTGGAGTCTCCCTTGAGGGATAACTTTGCGCAGAAGGAGTTCATGTTGATCCATTCCTGTAGTTTGGCACTACGGGCTGGGTCTGATTCTCTGGGGTATTTGACTGCAATTCCAAGTTAGCACCATGTCGTTACGACAGTCGACGGAAATACTTACAGTCGGAGCCGAATTCTGTCCATTCTGAGTTGAAGTACCCGAAGACTATGCCAGCATCTTCTTCACCAGGAATGTTGTGCATTTCGTAGACCAACTGAACCAATTTGTCGTTGTATTCTGTAAGCTCTCTGACTGCGATGTTGAGAGAGTGCATTATGCGTGCCGCTTTTGCGACATCAGGGCCGCTGCCATTTGGAGCATTGTTGTACGCTACGACAAGAGGATCAGCAGCTCTCTTTGCGATTTCAGAAACCGGGACGCTTGGATCGGAAAAGAGGGTTTCCAAAGCAGAGAGTTGCTCCGAAAAGGGCGGGTATCTCTGCTCAGTCTGAGATTTGATGAAGCTCTGGTAAGAAGCGTTGGACATGATGAATGTGTAAATCGAATTTTTGGAATTTGGAGACAGTTCGGGTTGCGAATGAAAAAAAGTACTGAATGGAGGAGTGGTCAAAATCCGGTGATTCTAAAGAGTGTTGGTAAAAATAGGTTAATATAAATCTACGAGTCGCGTTTGGGTTGTGTGAGGCTGTGTGCAACAGGAATGACGTCTCGCGAGGCAGCCGGGCGTAACAGGGTTGGTAGGGGCCTTCCACCCACATCGCTTAGAGAGGGGGCCATTTCCGGTGGAGATCGTGGTCTGTGGGCGCTTATTGCAGCGGGTGGAGGAGCGTGTGTGCCTTAGCTGGCGGTAATACCCGTATTACAGCCGTGGAAACGTTAGCACCTTAATTGGCGGTAATGCCTGTACTGGTCCGTGTTCGCCTTGTTGTAACAGTAAGCAACTACGCCTCAACCTTCACTGTACACACATACCACGTTAAGAAGTGATTTTCTTAACCTTCATCCATGCTTCGCACATCAGTCGTGCGAGTGACTGTCCCAATATAGAAGCCTAAGGTGTCTAATGACATGGTCAAAGTCAGCACTTGCGTTTGAACATGCTCTGGGGGTTGCAATGTACGCCCGAAAATGCCTACCACTCTCAGCAATGATCTTAGATGTGACGCAGGAATACCAAACAAGGCAACATCATCAGCCCTGATAGACAATATTGGAGATGTGAATATGGAGCAAAGCTGGTGGCCTGAGCCATCTCAAGTGCATAAATACTGTCTACCTGCACTCCAATTGAGATATCATCACATCACCACATCTCACAGTCCTGCAAGCTTCTTCAGCCCTCATCAAATCTATTGCCTCTTCAACCTCACCCAATATCTACCTTTTACTAGTTACCACAATGCGTTCTCCTACCTCCCTCATTGCATGCGTGCTCCTTGCAGGAGCCAGCTTCACCAGCACTGCATGGGCATATCCTACCATTGCAGAACGTCAATCTGTGAACAGCACAGAGCCCATCTTCCAAATACTCGCAAGCCTTCCCCTCAAAGTCGGCAAAGACCCGGCCACTCCCTCCACATGCCCGGCCTCAAACAACGGACCGCCAGCTGCACGCAACTACGCTGAGCATACCTACACCACCAACCAGCTGAAGAAAGCTTTCTTGGAGGGTGCAAAATTAGCCGCAGCTGGCAAGACAGTTGGTGCTAGTAAGTCTTGCTTGTCAACCACTGCTTACATCCCGATCTAACCTGTGACGCAGACAACTACCCTCATAACTATGGCCGAAACCCACCGATGCCCTTCGACTGTGGTGCTTCGCAGATGGAATTTCCTATCCAGCTAGATGCACAGGTGTACGACGGTGGTGATATCGGAGGTGTCCCAGACCGTGTTTTGTTTGAGTACAGTGAAGGTAAAGAGTTCCTTGTGAAATTCTGTGGAGTTATGCGCCACGGCCCTCCGGGTGGTGCGGCTTTCATCCCATGCCCGGCCACCTAGTGGGAGGATCGCGTTTGACAATTTGTGGATGGTAGATTTGAAGGAAAGACTGTTATATAGTTTGCTAGTCTCGTCGCAACGCAAAGCATTTTACTAGTCTTGAAATATCTTTGTCATTTTTTCCTGAACCACATCTAATGTAAATGTCAGTTTTCTATACTTGCAACGATACACCTTCTTTGCACTTACGAACCGCTGAGAACACACTCGTATAAACCAGTTTCGGCTGAAGTTGACATACAATTTATAGACACTTTCTTCGATCCATGTAACTGCATCATCATGCCTTAGAATAATATGCATGCCTTTTAGCAAATTTCTCTATAGCCTTCCGACGAACACTCAATTCATAGCATCTCCTATCTCGCCCTCTGCGTTTATCTATTCTTCTTCCTGTTTCTTTTTACACACACGTAATCTCAACAAAACCGTTCCAACAGCTTTCACAATCCCCCTACTATATCTGCTTATATCTACTGCACTCCACGAAAAGGGTCCATCTATCTACATCCCCTCACTTTCAAAACCTGGGGAGACGACCGCTAGTCGTTCTGTTTTCGAAACGCGGGGTGAGATCACACAATGTGGTATGACGTTACGAGACGGTATGCTGCACTGCATGCACTTGGTGAGAGATGAGTATGTACAGGGCGTTGTGTCAGGGTACGGATTGGGAGGAAGACGGGACGGCGGACTGAGGAGGATTGATGGAAGAAACGAGGCACCACCAGGAGTGTGAAAAGCAAAGTGACAAGTAACGAGGGCGGAGAGTATACCTCATGATGATATCGCAGTGGAAAGAAAGGGAAGTGGGGCGTCAACGTGGATAAGAAAATAGATGTATTGCAGCACACACAAAAGCACACACAAGTCAGCAAAGAGTACATACATACAAGCCTTAATTTTCGCCATTGGTATATCTGTATCCACCCCTAGACACAAAACCCCCGCATCCACAGCCTTGCTAGCAGCATGATTGAAACGCCCCAGGCCTAAGAAAGAAAAAACGCCCCCAGAACTACCAGCCAGCCAGCAATGCATACCCCTCCGATACCATCATGAGCGCGTGAATTTATGGAAGCGATTAGTAATAATAGGACCCTTTGTCGTGATTTTTTGCTTCGCCTAAGAGAGATGGAAAGCGCCTTGGCCCTCCTTGATAGCAACGCTGAGTTTCCCGCGGAGCACGTCGATGGTGCTGTAATCCGGCATTTTGAGGTAGTTGACGCACGTCATGACCGAGGGCAGATAGTCGTCGGATGTGTAGGGCGGCTCGCTGGGTTTGCAGACGACCGTGAACATTGGCGTGAGGTTCTTGAAGCCTGGCGTTTTGTTAGTGTGTGCATATGAAATTGCTGGTGTGTTTGTCGGAGGCTTACCTCCAATGGGCAGCTTCGGGCTACCGGTGATGAACTGCAGGAAGTCCCGACGCTGCGCCGCGGTGAATTCACTCATCGTCTGTAGCAAGTTGCGAACACTCTTGCTGTCAAGGTTGAAGCCGTGATCGGCCTTGATAGAGTCCATAAGAGCTACGATATAGTTAGTTACCGTGTCAAGGCTGAAAGTCATTTGCAACTTACTCTCAAGCGACCAGTCCTCATCAGTCCTGCCGAATAGCATCACAAGCTCATCGGGTGTGAATGCCTTCAGGGCGGAGTATGGGAAGACTTCGGTAAATCCTGATGCGAATGCATCTACTTGGCGCTGTACTCCAGAGCCCAAGGTGAAGTCAAGAACCTTCTCAACGTAAGTGTCCACGTTGTCGATTGTCACAGATGTGTCTGCTCCTTTCGTGATGAGCTCAATAGCATTGTATCCAGGAAGCGTGAAGTCCAAAGCTAGGTCTTCGACATGACAATCCTGGATGACGACGTTCTGGAGAGCGTCGACCTTTTGCGCCGCGGTCATGTTGGCGTCTTCGTCAACCTGCTTCTTTGCATCTGCAAACTGTTTCACCAACTTCAACGATTTAGACAGGTCTTGATCAACAGATTTGACAGCTCCCAAAGATGGAGCGACTGTCGTACTGCCACAGCTGAGGCGGAAGAACGTGGGGTTGAATGACACATCGATGATTCGAGAGTCAAGCATGGATCGGGCGACAAACTTGCCCAAGACCTTGAACATTTCAAGTATCTTTGCACCATTCTCAGACGCGGCTTGCTCTGCGCTCATTGGCGCAGGGAACAATCCGCGCTGCCCGAAAGCATACTCGTCGTTGCCAGTAGAATCATTTTCCCTCCAAAGCTTTAGTTTCTTCTTAGAGAACTCTTTGGACACGGTCGAGTAGAACTCCAGCGTTGGACCAAGACCTGTGCCGACCTCTTCGAAGTACTCCACCTCCAAAATGCTAGGAGAGTGTCCGTAGAGCTGCATGACCTTCATTGCCGACTCCAGAATACGCGATCGCGAGATCCGCACCTTTTGACGCTGAAGCCTGCCGAGGAAGGGTCGCTCATCGCGATTGCGATTGTGCCTTGAATCGTTGGCTGGCTGCGCATTTTGCCATCTCGTCATGGATCGTGAGTAGCCAAACGAGGTGGACTGAACAAACATGTGACGGGTCTCGAACGGAAAGAGGAACGGATAGAATCGGGCCAGGTCCTCGCTCCAACTAGGGAGGCAGTTACTAGCTACAATCAATGGCTCTTCCAATTGGCGATTGAGTTTAGCTGTCAGTTTGGTGTTTACAAACTGTGAAAGTGGCTCTTGGTTAAGCTTGATCTGCTCTCGGTGGTCGGACAGGATGTCATCAAGGTGAGAGTTCAGGCCATGGAGAATGCTAAGAAGACGTAGGATGCCAGATGTGACTGGATGGTTGTCCAAAGATGCTGGCATCTCAGCAGATCCGCCTCTGGACTCCGGAGGTGGGGTCAAAGAACTCGGCTCAGCAGGAGGAGGACCAGGGACACGCTTGAATTTGATGGTATGAACGGCATTCCAGACTGCACGATGTGTTGCATCTGACTGTGATACTTGGCTGAAGTGCACGGCACGATAAATTGTTGTTTCGTTCGACAGCGGCTGATCGTTAACGCTAAACTCCACATGCCAGTCGTCTGGGATAGACTGCACAGCTGCAGCATATGACAAAGCACTAGCAGCGCCGCCCAGACCCTGTCTCATCGCAGAGCTCTGGAGCAGCGCGGTCAAACGTGAGGCTGGGGTACGATCTGTCGGTGGCTTTGGTGTTTGTGCATTTTGAACCGGAGTGGCGACCCTGGTGCCGTCTTCCTGATGAGCAGTAGCTTTTCCTGTTGGTGCAACCTCTACACTCACGGCAGATGGATCCGGCAGGTCATCGTCAAGCTCATCTTCCAAGTCATCGACAATTGCGTTCAGAGCACTATCATCGTCCATGGAGTCTTCGTCGGAGAGACGTTCCTCGTCAGCGCATTCCACCGGATCCTGAGCACTGCTCGAACGAGGCATAGCAGGCGGTGGTGGTGGTGGCGGGGGCGGAGGTGGCTGCGCCTGTTGTCGTCTACTTGAGCGACGGGTCTTCTCTCGAGTAGATGAACTAGGCCCAGCCTCAGGTGTCTCGGTTAAGTCTGGTATCGACTTTGAAGACTTCTTGGAAGGTCGACTCGCTGATTCGGAAGGCGTACGTGGCGGAGGCGGAGCACGTCCAGCAGCAAGAGCCTCGGCATACGCTGCGAATTGATCCCTTGGCCTCGATCCACGTGGTCGCTCAGCAATGCTAATACGTGGGCGCAAATAGTCATCTAGTGCCTTGAATGTAGCAATGGCATGTATGGAGACCATGATGTTTCGATAACTCTTTGGAATACCAGATTCGTCGTCTGCGACGAGTTTGAGCCGAAGCTGCTTAGCTAACATGGACGTCGCGCTCCCTCGGCCGTCGTACGAGTTTTGGTGGACCGTGAAAACTTCGAAATGTTCCGACCTGCTGAGAAGATCTTGGAGTTTGTTGACCAGCACGCTGAATGGTGTCGCGGGTGACGCACTGCTTACAGTCTTGACCTTGGCCTGAGGATTGCCACCCATGAACGCTTCCAAGAACATGGGCCGGGGATCAATGCCCTTAGCAAAGGTAGCCGAGGAGAAGATCTCCAACAAGAATTCCACAATTTTAGAGGACTTGAGCTCATAGCTTGTGATGCTCTCCAGCGCATCTCCTTCAAAGTAAGCCGCAAGTCGTGTGAATAGTTCCATGCAGTTGCCTGGACCCCCATCGAGGACACAAGTCCTTATCTCCTCGGCAAGTAGCTTCAAATCCTCCAGTACTGCGGATGCTTTCTCTCGGATAGGTTTGTCGCTAGCCTTCTCGTGGGCCTCAATGAACTTCTTTGCCCGGAGAGTGATGATATCCTCAGCGTCGGGAATTGGTGGACCGCCAGGACGATCATCAGATGAGTCCGAATCGGAATCGTCGTCTTCATCTCGATTATCGTCTTCTATAATTTGGCCGTCGTCTTGGTCTTCTTCTTCGTCGTCCTCGTCATCGTCGTCTTCAGAGTGCATCTCTACATCGCCATCTTCAGCAGGTTGCGGCTCTGTGTTTTGATCTCCAGATGTACTTATGCTAGCGCTAGATTCAACAGCAGTCTCCACATCCAAGTTCGATTTGGAGTCTTTAGATCGAATTTCGAGAGCTTTGCAAGGTCGGTTTGCAAGATGTGAAATTTCGGAAATGACACCCTCGCGATAGAACTGGTATCGGTAGATATGTTCGAGACGCTTGAGGAGTAGCTCGGCCGCTTGCAAGGCGTATGTAACCAGGGTTGGGTGATCTTGTTGCGAAAAGATCGAAGCAAGGTACGAAGCATAGGGGACTGAACGCAACGCTTCTTCGAGGATCTCTGTGTCCAGGTTCGACAGCATCTTTAGTTGTGCCGTGAGAACCTTTTGTCGCACGTTGAGGTTGACAGTACTGGAGTAGGCGTCTGTCAGAGTGGGTAGTAAAATGACGGCAAAGTGCTTAACCTCCGTCTTGCAACCCTTCAGCAGTTCCACTCGCTTCTCATTTGCCTCCTTTTTGTTCTGTGAAGACAAAGGTGCGACACCGTCACCCGGGTAGCCAGCATCAAACAGGTCATCGAGATACATCAGGCCATCCGTCGGAACGTTAGGAAGAAGCTCGCAAATGACATTGAGTGTTTCGAAGACCTGGTCCTTGGGTCGATGGATCAATGCCTGCATAACCACGACAGGGTCGATTTTCGACGCAACGTCTTCGGTGCCGCTTGGAGGTGAGACGCCCGTGAGGATCTGATACAGCGTATCGACGACATTCATCCTGAGAAGATCGGCAGACAAGCGCGGGCTAGCTTTGGCAGTATAGGCAAGGACCTGGAGGAACATGGTGTGGATGTTTGCTCCGATCAGGTTAGTTGTGCCAGGTAAGAGGAGCCGCAAGATGGCTTTCAGAAGACCCGGGCTGACTAATTCTTCAAGCTTCGTCTCGTAGTGCTTGAAGCTCTGGACAATCCTCGACACGCAGATGCAGCCTTGTTCCACCACTTTTTGGTCGTTGTTGCTGAGGATGTTTTCGAGGATGGGCATAACATCGCGTACCGTGGGAAATGAGTCTTCGGGAATGTTTCGGCAGCAGTTGGCCGCAGTCGTCACAGCAGTTCGCTGCGTACTTGTGGCGAAGAAGTCGAGATAGGTCAGACATGCTGTCAGGCCGCCCTCCCGTACAATAGACGAAGGAAATTCCACTGAAATCTTCTCCAGCGTGCTTAGACACTGCTCGGCCAGGTCGATAAAGTTAATCTCAAGCAGCTTTGAGCACAGGACAGGGACAGCACCGCCGTAGACAATATTTGCAGTTGCTGCAGGTAGTGCTTCCATCAAGTTGGCCAGGCATCGACAAGCGAGAAGCATCACCTCCGGATTCTCTTCCCCAGTGAAATCGTTGGGTTGCATGAGTTTGACCAGTTCCTTGACGTAAGGATCCGGGGAAAAGTGGCCAGCAAGGTTATCCTCTGTAGAAATGAGCAGCACTTCTGAGAGCTCCTGGAGGGCAATCAGCTGCATAGACATGTCTGGAGACCTCAGCTGTTCAAGTATGCCTCGCAGGCGCTGTGTAGTGCCAGCCATCATGCCCGTCAGTTGTCGCAACGCCGACAGGCTGTGTGGATGGCGTGCGAGGAAGCCCGAAGTGAAGGGATCGTCGTCATCGTCATCGTCGTCATCATCGTCGTCGTCGTAGCGTCCTTGGAGACCTTCTTCGTCGTCGTCGTCATCGTCGTCGCTGGTGTGTTCCTCGCCCGGCGGTCGTGTCTCGTCTTCGTGCTTGCTCTCTGGTGCATCCTCCATGTCGACGTCGTCGTCGGTCTTTGTTGCTTTTCGCGAGCTTCGACGTGATGTGGAAGGGGCATCTGCGCCATGTTCAGCATGCAACTCTTGCGTCTGCTGTGGCGCGCTGCTACCTTGGGTGCCACTCTTGCGGCCGCCTTTACCGCGTCTCGCTGACGAGGGAGGGGCCGACTTGTCCTCTGCAAGGTCGGTGGGTGGGCTGTCTCGCGTCAACACGTGCTCTGCGGGCAGGTGGTCTGGCACATACTCAGCCGACGACATGGCTGCTTTTCCTCTTGCCTTCTTAGAGCGAGCGGGGGGCTGAGCTGGCGGGGCTGGGGGCTCGACCTTGGTGCGCTTAGCACGGCCGCCGCGGGCGGGTGCTGAGTCTGCGGTCGTCTCTTCCTGGTCTAGGGGCGTGTCCCTCACAGTGCTCTTTCTCTTGCGTGAGGCAGCGGGCGGCGGGCGGGTGGGGGCGACGTTGGTGGGTTGATTCTCGCTTGAATCTCCCGTTGATCGCCTCGCAGACGAGCGAGTGACTCTGGACGACATGAGAATCTGACTAGTAGCTCAAACAATCGATGGGCGGCTCAGACTGGGCCCTGGGCGGCGCGCGTGGCAGCGCGGTGCCGATGAAACAGAGTGAGAGTGGGTTGAATGGCTGCAGCAGTTGGGTCCACCTGTCGACGGTGGTGCTGCAGCGGCGAAGAGACGAGCGGAAGAGTTATCGTACCTGCTGTCGCGCTGGTGGTTGGGACGGCTTTCACGAAAACCCGATGCCATCAAGGCGCCATAGGCGAGCTCAAGCGAGTGAAAGCTGTGAGGGTGCACGTACACAACACGGCTCAGTGGGCGGGGGCGAGTGTTTTGCTATTGCACGAGCAAACGAGTAGATGGCTCAGATGCAGGGCGTGGTGGTGTAGATGGCGATGTGAATGAATGAATGATATGTTTGGGTTGGCCGCATGCTGTGACGAACGACCAACGACCCACCTGCAGGCGAATGTCACTTTATCGATAGGCATGGAAAGCCAGCAAAATGCTCTTGCACAATGGTGAATAGGCCATAACACCAGACACGGCCATGACGTGATTCACTTTGGTTTCTTCTACGGTCCTCTTTTTAATATTCGGTCACACGGTTGACATGCCATCCGCCCCATCGTGGGCGTGCTGGAGGTGGTGAGGTGAGACCCAAGGTACTCTTCAGCCTCACCCTTGGCTAGCCTAGCATTCCCGCGTTGTTGACGTAGCCGCCGACAGCTATGTCTTGCGAACCGAATAGACGCAGAGACGCCCTCCCAGCAGAATTGGGAGGATAACGTGCCGTCTTCTGTTGTTGGCGACGATTCACAGCAACAAACTCCATTGCAGCAGTCAGTGCACACAACTGATATGCACATCATACAAGTCTTAAAACGCAACCATGCACTTCATGAGCAAACATCTCCCTGTACGGGTGCACTACCTCATTCAACGGCCCAACCCAGCAATCCTGACTCTGACCGACACTGGCGGCCCAGCCCTTGACCGTTTTGATTGCTCAGCTTCCAAAGAGCGCGGCCTCGGACCTTATCTGGAACCACCCACGTGCGCTTCTCTCAGCGAGCACGCAAGCTAGACAACGGCGGAATCGGCGCAGCTGCAGGAAAAGGTTTCATATGCGCGCATGCATGTTTTGCCCGCAGCCATCCAGGTTATGGCGCCGCGACGCTAGAAGGCGGCCGCCTTGTCTCGCCCTTCGGCCACACGTCCGAACTATGTTGCCCCCCGCGTGTCCGTAGATCGTAGGACAGTAGCCTACAAAATGTTGCCTGTCCTCCCTTCGTCCTACAACGCTTCTCCCTGGAAATCTCGAATATTTAACCTCTGCCCTGACCTTCCTGTTCCAACCCTTTTCCACACCACCTGCTTCCGGATCCCGCCCGACCCCGCCTCATAGCTTACCTGCTGATCGGTCCTTTCAAACACTCCTGCCTGCCTAGCCTAGTGGGCTTCTATCCGAGGACTGCCTTCACGCGTAGGCTTCCTCCCTTAAATGTCACCCCTCCACCGTCAATTGACCTTGTCTTGTAGGCCTCTCACCCAGCACATCACTGCCAGTCGACCCCGCCAATTCCATCTCTACTGTCCGTCACTACACAACCGGAGAGCTGCCTCTCGGTGGCTGCCCCTCGCTATCCGCCTTCTACCGACCATTAGTCACTCACGCACGGCGAAAATGTCTTCGACAACCACCCGCGACATCATCCTTGACGCCGGACTCGGCAACGCTACCGCCATGACTCTCGACAATTACACCTTCCCCAAGGAGCGGCTGCGCAAGACACTTTCAAACCCGAAGAAGCAGCCCATCGTCCTCGTCTCTTGTGGCTCTTTCTCCCCGCCGACAAACCTACATTTGCGCATGTTCGAAGAGGCCGCCGACTACTGCGAATTCGAGACAGACTTTGAGGTCGTCGGCGGTTTCTTCAGCCCCGTCGGAGACGCATACAAAAAGGCCGGCCTGGCGTCGGCGCATCACCGAATCAGCATGACGAGGATCGCCGTAGAGGGTAGCTCGAAATGGATCGGCGTTGATCCGTGGGAGCCGCTGCACAAGGAGTACCTGCCCACCGTCAAGGTGCTGGACCACTTCGACCACGAGCTGAACGAGGTCATGGGAGGAATCGAGACATCCACAGGCGAGAAGCGACGCATCCACGTTGCGCTGCTTGCGGGCGCCGACCTGATCCAGACGATGAGCACGCCCGGATTGTGGGCTCGCGAGGACCTGAGCAGAATTCTTGGCCATTATGGCGCATTCATTCTCGAGCGCAGCGGCACCGATATCGGTATGTACCCCACTTCTCAACCACATTGCGCCGCTAACTCGCTACAGACGACGCCCTTGTTCAGCTCCAGCAATGGAGAGAGAGCATCCGCGTGATTCCACAACTTATTCAAAACGACGTATCATCGACCAAGATCCGCCTGTTCCGCAAACGGGGCAAGAGCATCCGCTACTACATTCCTGACCAGGTCGTCGACTACATCTACGAGCACGATCTCTACATTGATGACGAGAAGAAGCAGGCAGAGAAGGACAAGGAATCGGTCTCTAGCGATAGCGCTAGTTCGTCACAGTCATGATGAGCGAAGCATGGCCGATTGCTGATGTGATGTGGTTAGAATGCCCACGCATCAGTGCCGAGACCTTGTACACTTGAACACGCTCTTGTTCAATTGCAGGATCGCTGGGCCGTTGACTGTTACAATTGTTTGTGGACAGCTCCTGGGACCCGATATTTTCGACGGAGTAGCACAATTGCTTTGTCACACGCAGAGACGGCACTTGGAGATGGTCATCACTAGAAGGCCCTTGAGTACGCCTTCGCCGGCTTGATTGGGCTCGACGCGGTTTGGGTGATTGAAGTGCGCGTCTACATTTCCTTATCTCTTACGTTATGATACCACGCAGATATTAATGCATCGTCAAATTGACCTACTGATTACCGATTTTGCCTCTTACTTACCATGACGCCTTCAAAGTCGCGACCCGATAACGACAAAGCGCGAACGATGTCATCCCATGCACTCGAGATTGTGGCTGTGCAGATCATTGCTGCAGGGTCCCTTGATTGGGGTGAAATGTGAACCCTTGTTCGGCGTTTGTTCGCACAGGATTTTGCTTCTTCGCAATTCCCCATTTGATATGTGCCTTGCATGATCACCGTCTGCCAGTAATCACAACTTACACAACGTAACCCAAATCAGTACATTCACACAACCGAGATCCCTATATGGCACCGCGGTTGTGTCAAGGCTCAGTCCGGCAGATTCCCTGGTTTCGCGAGTCTCCAACCAAGCGCGATCGATGATGGGCCTACGTAGCGCCCAGCCACGTCAATGCAACTCCACATCACCCCAGCAACCGCAATGGTCCCAGCCTCATCTGTCGACTACCCGTGGTTGTACATATTCGCTACCGATATTCACGCTTCGCATGCGGCTTCCCTCGTTTTTGACGCATCGTATTGCTATCTGTTGAGGTGGTGAGCGCCGACCCCGCCTTCGCACTCGCACACCGTATTCTCAGCCGCCAACCATGTCCGACGACCCATCGCGCCGCCGCCCACACGGCGACGAGCGCAGACGCAGACGCGAATCTCAGGGCGAGGACCGGGAACGCGGAGCACGTAGGCCGAGGAGAGAATCTCACACCGACGATCGGGATCGCAAACCTCGCAAGGAGTCGGAATCGCGCAACCCCTACGAGCAGGAAGGGCGACGACGGAAGGGCCATCGCGCTACGGACTCACAGGGCGATTTGCTGCCCAGACCGTCCCGCCAGCAAAGCGATTCGGAATGGGACTCTTCCACACCACGCAAGTCGCGAAATTCGCGGCGCAATTCGACGACGGACGGAAGTTCGGGTCGCGCATCTGCCCAGCTGAGTCTCGATGCGCTGGCGAAACTGGACAAGGCGAATGCGAAGAAGGCGACTGGGTGGGGCGCGTATGATTATGACGAGGAGTACCTGCGGGAAGTGAGGCGGAAGGAGAAGATGCTCGAGAAGAATCGAGTGCAAGGGGAGAGAGCAAACAAGAAAAAGGATATGAAGAAAGAAGAGGAGATGAGACGTGCGGCAGAGAGCGACGCGGCGCTGAAAGAAGAGGAAGCGAGGCGGAAGAGAGAGGAAAGACGCAAGGCAAGGGAGAGCAGAAGGGCGCAGACGGACGACGAGAAGGAGAAGAGGAGAAGCGCACAAACGGATGATGAGCGGGAAGAGAGGAGAGTCAAGTATGCAGCCACGGCGACGCCGTCCGAGCGCGACGTCAAGAGGGAGAAGAGGCGACAGGAGAAACAGCACAGGACTGAGCAGAAGAAGCGGCGTGTCGTGAGCGGTCCATTGGCAGAGGAGGGCGGCATTGACGACGACGAGTACCAGTACATGATGGAAAAGCGTGGTGGCGCAGGCTCGAGTGTGCCTACGGTCTACACAGAGGAAGAGCTAGCGAAGAGGAAGAAGTGGAAGCGCATCATCATTGGTGTCGTCTCGGCCGTCATCGTTCTCATCATCATCGTCGTCGTGGCGGTCCTAGTGTCGAAAAAGAGCAGCACGCCTGCATCGTCATCGTCGTCGTCGTCTGCTAGCACTGGAGGTGGCTCAAAGAGTAACCTGGATGGCAAAGACCCCAACAGCGTGCCCACAGCAGACAAGGGCGGTATCTTGGACCCTTGGTCCTGGTACGACACCACCGACTTCAACGTAACCTACACCAGCGCAACCGTCGGCGGACTACCCATCATGGGCTTGAATTCTACATGGAATGACGATGTTCAGGCAAACAGCCATGTACCCAACCTGAAAGAGTCGTTCAAATATGGCACCATGCCTATCCGCGGCGTGAACGTGGGCGGATGGCTGAACATAGAACCCTTCATCACGCCCTCTTTCTTTTCATCTTACGGCTCCAAAGACAACATCGTCGACGAATGGACACTAACCACCAAACTCGGATCAGCAAGCAAATCCACGCTCGAAAAACACTACGCCACCTTCATCACCAAGCAGACGTTCGCCGACATCCGCGCCGCCGGGATGGACCACGTACGCTTCCCCTTCGGCTATTGGATCGTCCAAGTCTACGACGGCGACCCGTACGTACCCCAGGTCGCATGGCGCTACCTCCTCCGCGGCATCGAGTACTGCCGCCAAAACGGACTCCGCGTCAACCTCGACCTCCACGGCGCGCCGGGCAGCCAAAACGGATGGAACCACTCCGGCCGACAGGGCGTAATCGGGTGGCTCAACGGCACAGACGGCGACACAAACGCTCAACGCACCCTCGACATCCACCACAAACTCTCCGTCTTCTTCGCACAACCGCGCTACAAAAACGTCGTCACAATGTACGGCCTCGTCAACGAGCCGCGCAACGTCGAGCTCGACACGGCGAAAGTCGTCGCCTGGTCGCAGAAAGCTATCACGCAGGTGCGCGCGGACAACATCACAGGCATCATCGTGTTCGGCGACGGCTTCATGGGTTTGGATAACTGGCAGGGCAAACTGCAGGGAAACAAAAACGTGCTCCTCGACGTACATCAATATGTTATCTTCAACACAGACCAACTCTCCCTCAAACACCGCGATAAACTAAACTTCGCGTGCGAGGCCTGGACGCAGCAGTCGCTCCGTAGCATGGACACGACGACGGGCTTCGGGCCTACGATGTGCGGCGAGTGGAGCCAGGCTGACACGGATTGCACGCAGTACATCAATAACGTCAACAGGGGCACGCGCTGGGAAGGCACTTTCGACACGGGCAACGCGTCTTCCAGCGTGCTTGTGCCGCAGTGTCCCGAGGAGGGGAAATGCGACTGTGGCCCTGCTAATTCTGATCCGAGCACTTACTCCGACGTGTACAAGAAGTGGCTGTACCAGTTTGCGATTGCGCAGATGGATAGTTTCGAGGCGGGGTGGGGATGGTTTTACTGGACGTGGGAGACGGAGAAGGTATGTCTATGTCTTTTTTGCTGATGTGTGTGTGCTTTTCTTGATGGAGGCTGACCTTTGGGGGATAGGCTACGCAGTGGAGTTATCGCCGTGGTATTGCGGCGGGTATTCTGCCCAAGACGGCGTATGATCGTGATTGGACGTGTCCGAGCGATGCTACTAAACTGGATAGCTTTAGTGGGTTGGAGGAGTATTATTGAGGGGCGAGTGTGTGGTGGGAGGCGCTGGAACTTGGACGTTGCTGTGGTGTGGTTGTGTTGTCTGAGTGAGTATGAGGAGCGGGTGTGTATCGGTGAGTTGGGGTTTGCGCGCTGTGCTTGCTCGCAGTATGTATGTTGTATGAAGAACGACAATGACATGACAAGAAGATGGAGAGAGAAGAGGGGAGGAGATGAACGCTGTGTTGTACCGTGTGAGAGACGAATCGGCTCGATAAAATATATAGATAATCGCATATGCATATATAGACAGGGAGATGGGTAGATGGATAGCTTTACGATTCCCAACATACACAAAGTGAAAATGTGTAGGTAGCAATGAGGAATAAAACAAGACTCTCATGTATATTCAGATCCTAACAACCCCAAGAAATCCAATGCAATCCAACACGATGCAATGCAATGCAATACGATACGATGTATACCCAACCCCCAACCCCCAAACCCATAACGCCATATATGCAGAACCCCCAACCACATCCCCCCCTTATCCATCACCCATCCCTACCGCCACGCCCTCCCCTCCCTCCCCTCCTCCCTGTCCCCCCCTACCCCGGTATCCCAAATACCCTCCCTCTCTTCCTCATCCCCCAACTTCGCATAGCGCCCCTTCCCGCCACCAGGCGCCCTCCCACCCACAATATTCGACGTCAACTCGCGCGTCTCGCCCAGCTCCCTGCCATGCTTGCGGTCGCGCTTTCGCTTCCAGATTATGCAGCCGGCGATTGTGAGGGCGACGCCGAAGATTATGAGCGTGAAGAAGACGATGGAGAGGATTAGGCCGCGTTTTTCGGCGGGGGTGTTGGCTATGGCGCGGGGGAGTGGCATTTTGTTGGGTGTGTCGTGGGTGAGGTGGTGTGGGTGTGGTTGTGTGGATTGATGCGGATCGTGGCGAGGCGTGGAGGTATGGTATGTAGAGCGTGTATCCTTGCGTGGTGTTCTCGTCTCCTTGGTATCGAGCAGATAGAAGTACGGTGTATGTAAAAGCCAGACAGACAGACAACAGCGTCGAATGTAGGATTGTACGAATGTATGTGTAGCAGCCCAGCACTGTAAAGTACAGCACAACAACACACACGAAAGCCAAACAAACAGAAGAAGCAGAAGCAGGCGCAGAAGCAGAAACAAAGACAGGAACGGGAACAAGAACGGAGAAACACACCGTGCTACATTTCATTACACTACGCTACTTACGCTACTTACGCTAGTACATCGTGCACAGAACATTTCGCATCAAGTCAGACGTTCGAGCCGCGAAAAGGAGACATAATCTTGTAACGGGGGGGAATTCTGCACAGACGGATGCGGCTGAGTCGAGTCGGTGGTGGACCCTGATGGGGTGGGAATGACTTGACTAGACTGGACTAGACTAGACTGGGTGAGGATACGATGGGATGGGATGGGATGGGAGTTGATTTGTTGGGAGACTATGGGAGGTGGTACCCACTCTCTGGTGAACAAATAGCGAGTGTGAGGTGGTAGATGGGACGTGGAAGACAAGACGGGGAACGGGATGGGAAATGTGAGATGAATTGTGGAATGGCAAATGTCAATGGAGGATCTTGGGACGTCATCGAATCCTTTCTACTTCATGGACCAGTGAAATTAGAGAGCGACTACGCCGTGTTCTTCTTTTCGTGAATGTTTATGCAAATTGGTATCGAGAAAAGTGTTCCGTAACTCAGAATTAAGAATATAGTTGCTACGCATATGTCTGCACGTATGGCAGAGTACTTACACAGCTCGTCTGGCTACATACGCTCAGACACCATGTAAGATTAAATGACAAACTGTCGATCGCGGAGAGATGGGATGCGGAGATGGCGGATGACGCGTATGTAATTTACGAAGCCGGGGGAAGGATGAAGAACAACGATAGCAGAGGAACAGTGAGTTGTCAATGGAAAAGATGCCACGATATTGCTGCGCTAGGCATGATGCGATGAAAACAATACACATTCAAGAAGACAAACATGCAAATTCATCGCCGCTGAGCCAGATACAAAAAAACTTAACACAACCACTCCACACAGCACACTCCACCACCTTCCCTGCCCCCTTGCACACACCACCCCACTTAAGCCGTCTTCTTCCACTGGCTCCAAACACCGATCAAACTACTCGTCGTACCCGCGAGCCCCACGAACCCCTCGTCCAAGCCAATCCATCCCAGAGCCGTGCTCGGAATCATGATGTCGCAAACATCGCTAACGAGCTGTACCTTCAGCGCATCCATCTCCTTGTCGACCTTCTTCTTCTCGACGACCTTCTCGGGGTCGCCCGACGAGGTGATGGTCTGAGCGCGCGTCTGCAGGTTGTACAGCGAGTACAGCGACGAGGCGATGCTGAAGGACAGGCCGGTGAACCAGGCACGCGTAGCTTCGCGGGAGAGACGGGGCGCGGTGGAGAACTTGCGGATCGAGGTAGAGTCGAGCTGGGGGTTTGTTAGTCGATGGCCAGCTACATGTGCTTATTTTTAGGAAGGCAGGCCGGGACTTACCACGCAGGCGTTGTCCATCACCATGTACATGGCGTATCCCAACTGTCTCCCTACGGTCAGGAACTTCAGCACGGGGTCGACACCCTTGGCATCGCTCGCGACCGCCGCCGCCTTGAAGTGCTCGACGAATTTGCCCACGCGGAGCAGTTTGCGCGCCGCGCCGAACTGCTTCTTCGTCGCTTCAAAGGGTGTGATGGCGGTTTGCGGGCTGTTCATGCGGTAGAGGTACCATGCGTAGAAGCGGGAGAAGTATTGCAGCGTGCGGAGGAGCTTGTCGCGTCCGACTTGAGGGTGTTAGTTAAGGAACGGGAATGGATTGCCTATCACGGCAGATGGACAGGTAGAAGGACTGCATGGAAGACTGGATAATGACGAGAACAAAAGACATACCGGTCGTCGCAATGAACTTCAAGTAATGCGACACGCTCGGGTGGTAAATGAGGGCGTCGGCGACCATTCTGGCTGTTTCTCGGATTATACCGTCGCTGAGGTATTTTTTAGATTGCACGTTTTAACTGCAGATGTGCGGTGATACAAGGGGTGATGTCGCGTGCTGGTGAACGAAGCGGTGGAGATGCGCGAGCTGAGGTGTTTGTCTGGGGTAACTCGTGATAAGGCGTGAGCGAACCTCGGCAAATTCACTGTCAGAAGGCGGTTGTTGTGGCCGGGAATGATTGCCAAGTTCGGCATCAGTTTTGAATAGCCATTTCGTTTGCATATGATAATCGCGTGCAATATAAATACAGTTCTTAAAGTAGTAAATCTTTACTCGATGGTAGCTGCTCCCAAGACCCATCATGACCGTGCCGTCCAAATCACCGTCCATAACTCATGTATGCGCCACAGCCCTTCCAGGCTCTCAGACCTTGTAAAAGCAAAAAGTATGGTAGAAGTCCGCAGCATCCAACTCCTCCTCGGTGGTCAGCAATCGTCCCGACCCTCTTTCCCTAACTCCCATACGCTCACTCAGAGGCCCAAGCTCGGGATCATCCTTTTGCTCGTCCCACACCTCTCTGAATGGCTTGCGATACTGCAGCTCGAGGTTGTAATCTTCCGCAAGGGCACGGAAGGCCTCCCACGGGACGACATACTCGGGAGCTTCAACGGCTTCTTCGAGGAAGTACGAGTACTTCCAGCCATAGGGTGGTCGGAATGTACCATCAGGGGGTGTCTTGCCTGGAAACTTGACACGATAGATGCCGTTGCCCCATTGGAAGCCTTCTTCTTCAACCTCGCCGTCTTCTTGATCGTCATCTGCCTGTTGCTTCTTCTTGCCCTTTGCCTCGTCCGGCTTCTCACCATCTGCGTGTTCAGAATCGTTCGGTTTGGGGCTGTCAAGGCTCTTCTCGGGATCCCAGTCGTCCTCATCGTCGCTTGCAAATGTTGGTCGGTCGTCTTTTTCATCGTCTGCTGCACCGTTCGTGTCTTCGACTGCGGTCCCTTGGGCTTTGTGGTGCTCGATGACTTTTGTTGACAATACATCCGAGTTGGGAATGCATCCAATGAATCGCCCTCCCTTCTTGAGTGATCCTGCGACGTTCTTCAGCATGCCTTTTGCCTTCTCCTCGCTCTCAAACGCGTAGTGCATGCAAAACATCATCGTGACCATGTCAAAACCTCCGCCGCCCCAGCGCTGGCTCATGACGTTTCCAGGCCCAGCTCCAGGATCAATGCCAACGTCCTTGATAATGGGGATGTCGCCTAACCACTCTCCAAAGCAGTCCTTGGCATAGAACTCGGCGTGAAACAAGCGCCCACGCGACTTCTTCTGCATTTGCGCGTATCGATCTTTGGCTTGCTTGATCGACACATCTGCTGGATCACAGCCCACGTAGAGCTCGACTTTCCTCGATGCCTGCCATTTCTGCAAGTCTCCTCCCTTGCCACATCCAATGTCAAGAATCTTGAGATTGCGCTCGTCGCCGATGAACTTCTGTATGATGGACGACTTGACCCAGTTGTTGAAGCTGCGCAGGCCTTTGATCTTGCTGTCTGTCTGGCGCCAGTCGCGACCCCGCTCAGGAACCGTGTTGTAGAACTGTTTGACCACGTCGTGTACACCTCTCGAGGCGGCTTCCTGCTGTGCTCTCCTCTCCTCTTCCTGCTCTCTCTGTAGCTGGCGTTGACGTGCAGCTTCTCGGTCTGCAACTGACAGTCGTGACGCAGCACCGGGTCGTTTTCGTTGACGGGGTGGGGATCTCGAAGGCGATCTTGACGCTGAGCGGGCGCGCTTTCTTCCGTGTTCGGGACCTGCCATGGTGGTTGGAGTGGATAGAGTCGCGGTCGCGTGTGGTGATGCTCTGGAAGGATCTTGGGAGCCGTGTAGGAAAGGAGATGGACAATTAACGGTAGACTTGAATGGTGAGCAGGATTATTGATCTGAGAAGAAGAAAAGAAAGTGAAACAAAGTTGATAGTCGAGCAGGAGCTATGGTTCAGCCGCCGATCTGCCAAGGCCGCCGCATCATCGTAGCTTCCCTCACTCACTCACTCGCTCACAGCACCAAAACATCGAACGCCATCTCCACGCCCACCCACGACTCTCACCACCCTCTCACCCCGTGAAATCAGCCAAGATGGGTGATCCGCAGTTCGCCAAATACCCCAATCTGCAGCTCTCGCAGCACATCTTCCAGATCACCAATCCCGCCGCCTCCAAAGCCGCCAAACAAACGTCGCTCAAGTCGCTCCAAGATGCCATCTCCGAGCACAAGATGGCCCCGCTCTACAGGCATCTTGCCCACCCAGCAGAAGGTGTCTTGAATGCCTCGGGTGAAGGCACAGCAGAGCAACCAAGCAGCCACCGCAGACCCTCCGCCAGCGTTGTCACCATGCTCGCCACAAAGAACCCGTCGCTAGAGGTGCCGCTGGCGTGGGACGAGAAGCTATACGACAGCCTGCAGGCAGACAACGAGAAGGAGCTGGAGGTGATAAAGAAGGAGGAGGACGAGGCGGCGGAGAAGGCGGGCGAGACAGAAGTGCAGGCAGCGCGGGGCAAGCGCGCAGAGCTGTACAACCGCATAGGAGACAAGGTAGGGCAATTCACTCGGACGTATAGTAGGCATATGTTGACTTTGTACAGGATAAAGCCATCGCGAGCTACGAGGCCATCTTCGAGAAGACAGGCATCCTGGGCACAAAGATCGACCTGGTCCTCGCCATAATACGCATCGCCCTCTTCTTTGGCGACCGAGTGCTGGCAAGGAAGACGATTGACAGGGCAACCGCTCTGGTGGAGAGCGGCGGTGACTGGGATCGCCGGAATCGTCTCAAGGCATACACTGGCCTGCACTACCTCACCGTCCGGTCACACGCTCAGGCTGCCCCACTCCTGTTGGACAGCTTGTCGACATTCACCAGCTATGAGCTATGCAGCTACTCGAACCTCGTGGTATACGCCATCCTCGCGGGCTCAGTATCGCTCAAGCGTGTCGACTTCAAGTCGAAGGTCGTGGATGCGCCCGAGATCAAGGCCATTGTTGGCGGTGAAGAAGAGAAGCTCTCCGCGCTCACGGGTCAAACGTCAGCAGGCCCAGGAGCCGGCGACGAGGATATGGCAGACGTCTCGTCCTCGACAGCAACACCCGTACCTACTATCGTCAACCTCACTACACTAGGCAACCAGCAGAATGACGAAGTGCCTGTTGACTTCTCGCCCCTTTCCAAGCTGGTAAAGAGTCTCTACGAGGGTGACTACAAGAACTTCTTCGGCGCGTTGGGCGAGGTGGAGAGCAACTTCCTAGGCCAAGACCGCTACCTCTACGAGCACCGAACGTGGTACGTACGAGAGATGCGACTGAGGGGATACCAGCAGCTGCTCCAGTCTTACCGCGTTGTCGGTCTGCAAAGCATGGCCAACGACTTCGGTGTCACCATTGACTATCTTGACAAGTAAGTTACCCACTATAGCCGACACATGACTTGATGCTGACTGTACGCAGGGACCTCGCGAGATTCATTGCTGCGGACCGCATACCCTGCACCATCGACCGTGTCAAGGGTATCATCGAGACGAACCGACCAGACGACAAGAATAAGCAGTACGCGGACGTGGTCAAGCAGGGCGACACACTCATCACGAAACTACAAAAGTACGGACAGTCAGTCAGGTTGAGGGGGAGTGAGCGTGGCTAGATGTCTGGTGGTAGCAGTTTGGATGTGTAATGATCTTGGGCCTTCTGTAGAGTAGACGTGCCCAGCAAACATGCCGCTGAGGACGAAATGAATGGACATTGACCAAAAAGCAAATCCACGCGTACGACACGTCTAGCACGCGTGAGATACAGCCCGTGTCGCCTTTCCCAAATGGACATAGCTCCCATCTTGTGCACGCGGACACACCTCCGGCGATGGGGTGGCGCGAATTGCGGTGAGATGCGGAGGACATATAAATCTTCTTCTCATTTGGTCCTCATATCAGGCCACTCGTTCAGCCTTATTACTCAATCGCATCTGACCCACAAGAAACCCACGCGCATTTATCCACGGAGACGTCTTTGTGGGGGTAGAGCCACGTGGGGAGCATAGCCGACGATAAGTGACCAGGGTCCACGATGTCGCCGTCATCGGCCCATATCAGTCGGAAATGCATCAGTCTACTTCGCGTCGTTGGTGCGGGTCGTCGAGGTATATTCTCCCCATCACCATCCATTCCGAGGTTGAGAGTATCAATTTCAAAGTGATTTTGAATTCTCACGGCTCAACGGCAGGCTAAACACGAACGAGCCATTAATAAAGGTATGAGGGGCAGTCTGGTGGGGCTTCACGCGCTCCGCGTTTGAAAAAAAATACAGCCTGACACGTCTTGCCTAGTAGCCAGAGAGGAAGGCAAACTAATATAACCGTGGACATCCGCTCACTTCTTGTCGAACTGCAGGATTATCTCGACCCACCATTCCGCTGCACCTGACCCGAAACATCAACATGTCGTCTACCGAGACTCAGGCCACCCGTCACGTTCTGAACCTCAAGAACATTAACCCCCATATTCGCAATGCCAAGTATGCCGTCCGTGGTGAACTAGCCGTCAAGTCGGAATACTACCGCGCGAAGTTGGCCAAGGGTGAGGGCAGAGACCTGCCCTTCGATACCGTTATCGCGGCGAATATTGGAAACCCGCAGCAGTTGGACCAGAAGCCCATCACCTTCTTCCGCCAGGTGGCGAGTCTGTTGGAGAACCCGGTTCTGCTCGAGAGTGAGGATGTGCTCGTCAAGAGTCTGGGGTATAAGGAGGATGTCATTGCGCGCGCGAAGAAGCTGCTGAAGGAGGTCAAGAGCGTAGGCGCATACAGCCAGAGTCAGGGTGCGCCGGGCATCAGACATAGTGTTGCTGAGTACATTGAGCGTATGTAGGCCCAGACCTCATTCACTCTCATCAAAGCTGACCAGATACAGGACGAGATGGTTACCCTGCGAGCGTCGACAACATCTTCCTCAGCAACGGTGCCTCGTCTGGAGTCAACACGCTCATGCACGTCATCTGCGCAGGTCCAGAGACAGGCGTCATGGTCCCCATTCCCCAGTACCCGCTGTACACCGCCACCCTCGCCCTCCTCAACGCCCGCTGCGTACCCTACTACCTCAACGAGGCCCAGGCATGGGGCACCTCCATCGACGAGATCCGCTCCTCATACGAGAAGGCCATCAAAGAAGGCACAGACGTCAAGGCCATTGTCATCATCAACCCGGGTAACCCCACCGGCGGGTCTCTCCCCGCCGAGGACATCAAATCGGTGCTGAAATTCGCCGCGGAGAAGGGCCTCGTGGTCATCGCAGACGAAGTCTACCAAACCAACGTCTTCATTGGCGAATTCATCTCCTTCAAGAAAGCGCTTCGCGACCTGCAAAAGGAGACCCCAGGAACATACGACCACATCGAGCTCGCCTCCCTGCACTCCATCTCCAAGGGCATGGTCGGCGAGTGCGGTCACCGCGGTGGCTACTTCGAACTCATCAACTTCAACGCAGACGTCGCGCAGGAGATCTACAAGTTCATCTCCATCCAGCTGTGTCCGCCGGTGCTGGGGCAGTGCATCGTCGAGATGATGGTCAACCCACCCAAGGAAGGCGAGCCGAGCTACGAACTATACAAGAGCGAGTACGACTCCATCTTCAAGGGGCTAAAAGAGAGGGCATACGCGCTGTACGAAGCGTTCAAGAAGATGGAGGGCGTCGAGTGTGATGAGCCGCAGGTATGTATCCCCCCCCCCTTCCCTTTCTTTCCATCCTTCCCAACTCACGCTCACACCCAACAGGGCTCCATGTACCTCTTCCCCACCATCCACCTCCCAGAGAAAGCCGTCAAGCAGGCCAAGGAAGAAGGCAAAGAGCCCGATGAATTCTACTGCTTCCGCATGCTCGACGCGACGGGCGTGTGCGTCGTGGCGGGTAATGGCTTCGGGCAGAGGGAGGGCACGCTGCATTTCCGCACGACGTTCTTGGCGCCCGGGACAGAGTGGACGGAGAGGCTGGTCAGGTTCCATGAGGAGTTTTTGGCCGAGTTTAAGTAGCGTGCGTGTGTGCTGGATCGTAGTGGCGTGTTGAGACTCGTTCGTTCTGGTGCTGGGGGTAATGGGACGCTTGCTGATGTGATGTGATGGCAAAGAAGATGTATTTCACTCGTTGACATATATCCCTTGCTAGTCTCTATGTACTCGCTACTCGAACAAACCTATACGTTACATCTGCCTTAGATTTCATGTGTTCTCCTCGCTCATGAACTTCACCCCTAGACCTAGTTTCCAAATTCGATCCTAAACTCGATTACAAGTCTCGATCCCAAATATCCATATATTCGAACAGACGGGGGCTTCGATAGTATTCACCGATACGATGCATGTAGACTCTAGGTAGACAAGCTTGAGGCTTTATGTAGCAATGTGTTTGAACGTTTTCGATACGAATGGATCGTTGTATACACAGATATCATGATCTGTCATTCCTCACAAGCGCGGACATGGCATATTGGAACGTTACCAAAGCAAAGAGCATCAGGCAAACCGCGTGACACCAAAACGACCCACTCGCGCCGAACCCAACGCAAATCCTCCCAAAGTCACCTGGGCCTTATTTTCCCCTTCCATCATTCGACATTTTCCCCGCCGATACATCACACCACCACATCCCCCACCAACCCTTTTCCTTCACGCCATACGCAAACCACCTACGCCCTCCTCTCCACGACCCACTCCCCCGCAATCTTCGCCGCACCCGATGCCTCCCGCGCGAACCCCGCAAAATGCCCCACGGCCAGCACATCATGCGGCGCATGCTCCACAACATCCAGCGTGACATGGTTCCCCGCGCCCTGCATATGCCCCACCCACTGCACGACATCGAAGTACAGGATCTCTGCGCCGCCGACGCTAACAAAGAGCGGGACTTTAGTCTCAAACGGCTTGTTCTTTTGGGTGACGTACGGCGAGGAGAGGATAGCGGGGCCTGCGAGGCCGGCGAAGGCCGATGTGCCCCACTGCGTGAACGGCGGGTTGAGGAAGTCTGTTGCGTAGTGGGGGTTGTTGTGGACGTAGGAGGCGGTGGTGTCGCTGGGGTCGATCCAGGGGGACCAGAGGAGTGCGGCGGAGGGCGCGGGGATGGCGAGGTCGGGGCCGTATTCTGCGATGTAGCGGAGCAGCGCGATGGCGGCGTTTCCGCCTGCTGAGTCGCCGGACAGGATGATGGAATGAGCTGGGATCTTCAGGTCGTGTAGCAGGTACAGGTAACCTGTTAGGCTGTCCTGGAGGGCCGCGGGGAAGGGGTTCGATGTCTCGGATGCCGGGAGAGAGGAGAGGCGGTACTGCGGGCAGAAGACGTGTGTTGCGGGGGTGTGTTTGAGGAACTGCGATGCCATGAAGCCTGTTGCTCGGGTTCTGCCGTCGCCCGATACGTACGCGCCGCCGTGGATGTGGAGGATGACTTTTACGTTGCTTGTGGAGCTTGCTGCGCTCAGGGGTGCAGGATACCATGTTGCTCCTATCTCAATGGGCTTTACGTGCTGGATGCTGCGCAGCGGGCCTTGGTACATGTCTGGTTTCGCGGGCTTTACCAGCACGAATCGCTCTTTTTCTGCGCCTGGGTCGAGGGGGAGAACCGACGGGTGCTGGACTCGAGCCAGGTGCCAAAGAACGGAGGAGAGGATGCGCACTGCGATGGCTTGGTGGAAGGTCCATTCTGCTTTTTGACGGCCGGAGCTGAGCAGGTATTTTGTGATGAAGATGGGGAGTCGGACGAACTCGAAGCCGATTGCGGCGAGGAGGTAGATGAGCTTGAAGGGTTGGGTAGTGACGAGGGCCATGGTGGAGCGTAGTAACAGTGCGAGCGCGCTCGCTAGTGCTTGGAAGCGTTGCTAGGAGATCAAACAGTGTAATTGAACGCATGCACTTTTACATAGTTCTACATGTCAATGACTAGTGGGAGGAGATCGTTGAAGTTGGGCCGAGGCACCCTGGATCGTCTCCAAGAAGTGACGTAGAAATTAACACTAACATGCCTAGAACCCAGAACGAACACTAACCTGTCAGTACCGATAGCGTTGTCACGAACGATGGACCTTTTGAGTGCGAAGTGGAACGGACACAACATTCAACCACCTCACCTCAAAACAGATGGACATCTCACAACACACTATACAAATGAAGACTACTAATCTCCCCGTTTCTCAAAATTTGCACACTCCTTCCAATATTTGAAGCCAGAAACTGTAAACTTCCATCGACCAGCGTCAAGACCAGAATAACTCACACATGCCAAAGACTAGAAAGACAGCGTAAAAATCGCATTGTATTCGAAAACGTCCACATACCCTCTTAAACTTCTAATGAAGTAAAGAAAGCACCCATGTATCGAGGAAATTCTATTAATTATCAGACTGCGCTCTCTCCCACTTACTCTGCAACACGGTGAAGAAAGGTTATTACAATTTTTCTTGTCTCATCATAATTCATGCGAGAGAGATCAGAGTAATCGCGTTGATTGGTCGGACATTTGGGTTTGAACAAGGAATTTTGAGAGGTAAAATCCTTTTCTTACAAGAAGCTTTGTTTTGAAAATAGCTAAACCTTTCCACCTTTTTTGGCTCTGGCCCACCAAGCAAGTCCAACACAAGATCAGGATACAATATTTCCCTTCCCATTCTTCCACTTTCCGCAATAACAACAACAACCTCTCCAAGCATCGAGCACAACTTTCTCCAGAAACCTTCGACGCAGCTCAACACAAGATCTTGATGCGCGTAGAAAGCCACAAGCTCTGTCCAATATATTGTAATCCACGCATATACACGCGGCAGCCCTTAACTCACTCACTCCCAACCTACACCCACTACAACAGCATCCCCCACGCCAAAACCCCAGCAAGCACGCCCATCCCCACAGCCGGTTTCACCATCCCAGCCGCAGCAGAACTCGGCGTCGCACCACCGCTCTGCGTCGTACTAGGCGAGCCCGCCGCACCAGCATCCACGTTCCCAATCGCCTCCGCGCTGACCCCCGTAGCATTGCGGCACTCATCGTCAGCGAGCAGCGAGGCATTAGCCTGGAAGCGAATATCCGCGCACTGGAACACCATCAGTAACCAAAACTCTACATCCCAGCCGAGTAAGCAGTTCAACAGTTCAAGAAAAACTCAAACCCACATTATACAGCGCACTCCCCGAATGCCCCAACTGCACAACCTGCACACTAGCCTCCAGACCCTCGAGCCTCGCATCCCCCAGCCCCGTATACCCCGCCAGTCTCACCCCAGCCTCGAGGTTCTCGCGTCCGGTTTCACGAAGGCAGAACACGCCGGCGCCCGTTTGGTTGAAGGCGTCGACGAGGCTGATGTTGAAGCTCGTCACGTTTGTGCCGAGACCCAGGTTGATGAAGGTTAGTGCAGAGGTGTGGCTGCCGTTTATGCGCACGCTGCCGCTGGTGAGCGGCCAGGCGGTGCGGTTGTTGGCGTCGAGGGTTTCGGGGACGTTGGCGCCTGGAGAGGGGGGGTTAGTGGAAGGGGGATGGGGTGGGGGAGGGAGGGTGTACAAGGGAATGTATACTGGCTGGCTGGGCTTTGGAATGAATCGCCGCGCCATGTGGGTGCGAGGAGGCGGTAGTGTGCTGTTGCGCTGCTGGCGAAAGCGAGGGCTGCTAGGAGGGGGCTGTTGAGATGCATGATCACTCTGTCGTAGGGAATGTTATATTCGAGCACGAGAAGAAGAAGGGAACTTGAACACAAATGAAATACGCAAAACAAGACACCGCCCTCAGTTTTTATACTGCGTAATTCACACCATCCCTCCCGCCTTCCCGTCTGCGCATATTACACAAACGCACCTTCCTCACCGCACAACCACAACATCCCTCGAAACCGCCCAATAGCACATCCGCGTCTCCTCGCAGTACAGTCCCGTGGTGTAGCGGGCTTGCATGTTTGTTTTCGCTGGGCGTGAGGGAAACGTGCTCATGAGCAAGTTTATGGCTTGGCGGCTATGCTTGTTTGGGGAGTGGTGTGTCGAGAACGGGAGGGTAGTGTAAGGGTAGAGGGGAATTGAGAGCAAGGGCAAGAGAGGGAGAGGGGGAGGAGCAGATCAATGTAAGAAGTTGGAAGTTTCGGTTTGGGGATGGATGGATGAAAGTTTGTGGGTAGATGAATCACAGCGCCACATCTTGGCAGAGTGGATTTCAAGAATGAGAGGATAGAATGAAAAAGGTACATGCGAATACTTTCCTCGTTAATGATTCGAGTCTTTAAAGATCAAACGCCATGACCCATCCCATCCCGCATACCCCATGCGTTACCTATTTGCAGATCCCAAACTCCCAAGTCCCAAAACAAAACGCCTCACAATGCCATACACCCAACCATCATCAAAACATACTACTCTTCTTCTTCCTCAGCTTCTCAGCCGTCGTCTCGCTCTGACTCCGCAATCCCCAGAAACTCTTCTTCTCCTTAATCTTCACCGGCTGCCCATTCCCATTCGCATCCACCCCGAAAAACGAGCTCGCACTCGCCGTGGGCCTATGCCCCCCAGGAGGCGTAGCCAGATACGAACCCTGGGGAATAGGCGCCAGCGACGGCCTCTGCGGCTGCTGATAAGACACGACCTGCGGCGCCGAGTAGCGATGCTGCGGCTGACTCGGCCGGTTGAGCAGGTTACTCTGATCGCCGAACTGTTTCCGCAGTCTCTCCGTTTCTTTGTCGACGTCTGCTTGCTTGCGGCGTCTCTCCTTGTCTGCTTTCTCACGCTCTTTCTCGGCTTTTTCGCGCTCCTTTTCTTTCTGCTTGCGCTCTTGTTCGAGGAATTGGAGCGTTTTGCGCTCGGCTTCTGCTTCTTGTTTTCGGCGCGATTTGGTGGCGGCGGCTTCTTTGCGTGCGTTCTCGGCTTCCAGTTGGGCTTTCAGACGTGCGGTTTCGGCGTCGAGTTCCCATTGTAAGAGGGGATCTGGGCGAAGGGGTTGCTGTGGGGGGGATTGGACGGCGGGCTGTTGCGGGCGGGGTTGAGTGGGGTGTTGTTGGGGGTGTGGTTGTGTGGGGTTATGTTGCTGGCGAGGCTGAGGCTGAGAGGGCTGTTGTTGAGGGCGAGGCTGAGGAGGCTGTTGGCGGAGTCGAGGTTGTTGGGGTCGTTGTTGTTGTTGTTGTTGTTGTTGTTGTTGTTGTTGTTGTTGTTGTTGAGGCCGCTGCTGCTGGAGTCGCGACTGCTGCAACGGGCGAGCCTGTGGGTGTTGTTGCGATCTTTGTTGCTGTTGTACAGGACGGGGCGGGTGGGCTTGAGTGCGCAAAGGAGCAAGGGACGAGCGCTTCGCAGCGAGGGGAGTAGGCTGGAAGGAAGGCTGGGCAATCTGGGCGTTCACAGCCGCGCCACTGGCAGGCTGTAGCGGCACCTTCTCGGGCGGGTACTGGGACGGCCCCGTGTATGGCGGTGGGGAAGGGGGCTGCGGCGTCATGACCGGGGGCGTGATGTGCGAGCCTTCCACTGGTGACGACGTTTTCCTCGTTAGCATACCGCCACTCAGCTTCTGCGACACGGGCTCGATGATGTGGAACTGCTCCTTCTGGTCGTTCAAGAACAGGTCCCGTATGACAGCCGCGCCAATCAGCAGCACAACCTCCAGCCCCTTGTAGTCCTCCAGCTCGACACGGTACAGATTTGACTCCATGATGGTCATTTCCTTAAGCCCCGAGAACAGAGCGACGGCAATGTCCGGCTCCTTGCCCTTCTTTGCCTTCCTGCCCGTGACGTCCGTCGACTTGCCCGTCATGTAGCATGTCAGGTCCTTGGCCAGCCTGCCCTCCTTGCGCCACACGAAGTTCACGCGCGGTGTGTTCACATCGCGGCCGGGGTCGCTCTGGGTGCGGTCGAGCGTCGAGGCACTGGGAGTGCGGAACGTGACCTGCGGCAGGCTGAAGTCCCAGCTCACGGTGCCGCTCCACTTGGTCGACTGCTGCTTGACAATGACCTGCGTATCTGGGTTGTACAGCTGGATGGCGAACTCGGTCGGGTAGATAGGCTGCGGCGGCGGTGGCACGCCCCCGTTCTTGCGAATGTCTTCCTGCGACAGCGAGGGATGTGACCAGCCGGGCTTTGCGAGCACCTCGCCGTAGAGAATGTCTGGGCTGTGCGAGTCGTACAGGGCTACCGCATACGTGTTCTTTGCTGCGTTAGAGGCCGGATCGACGTGGTGCAGCGAGTAGTGGGCATCGGGCTCGGAGCCATGCTGAGTGAAGAGGTAGTTCTCATGGTGCTTGACCTTGTCGGCCGACGGCTTGAGGAAGAAGGTCGGGTAGCTCTCATCAAGCATTGTGGTGGATGTCGGTTCATCAAAGGTGGGATGACCTGAGGGGTGTATTCTAGGCGTCGAGAGGCGGGGGCAGCGTTTGTAGTGAATGTCTCGGCAGCAAGCAAGGCTCGTGTTATGTCCGTCCCCGGTTCTGGTACGCGTCCAAGGCGCATGCCAGGAGGCTGAATGACACATCCCTGCCACTCGTACCAATGACGCTGGATCGGCAGGGGCTAGTCAAGCGAGTGTGCTATTCTTAGATTGGATCAGCCCTGCGAACCACAGGCTCATCATTCTTGACCTCTTCATCCCTTCCTATCTTTCCATCTTCACAGTCCGTCTGAACAATAAACACCATCCGCATCGATTGACTTGGTGATCAAACCGAGTGTACAACCCACAACAAATTCGCGCAATACCAATACACGATGGACGTTGTGAAACGTCCTGCACAGCCCCGCAGCTGACCGCAGACCGGCCGGAAACAACTTCACAGCGCCCACTAAACATCTACACCTCACTGCCCCCTGACAAGGCAGACTGTCGCCTTTTCAGTGTTTACCTTCCGCTCTCCCGTTGCCTACCTGAAGACTTTTCGCGTATACGCGTCCTTGCTTACCAATATCCATGGCATCTCGCAGGCGATTGTTGTTGAAACAACATCCTGGCATCGCTTATTCTCGAAGGACTTGATTGAGATCAGGCATCTCACAGCTCAACGTCATCAGTCGTCACATCATGGGCCTTCCAAGCCTGGTCATTGCGTATTCATGTCAAGTCTGTGGAAGGCCCGATACATAGCCACATTTTACAGGATACGAACACAAACACTGGGGTGGGTGGACAACAACCAGACAAACACTTCCTTTGTGTATCTTGTGCTCCAATGCAAACGATCTACTGGGTGTGGTCAAAGTATAGGAGATCATCCATATTCGTACCTCCAATTGACTACAGGATACGCGACAAGTGTGACATTCAAGCACAACAAAGCACAACAAATCCATCCCAGTCATTTCACAAAACTCCCAACGATCATCAATCAAGTTTAACTACTTTGCCCCACAATGAGGACGCAAACTTCAGCACACGCCTATCAAATCCGGACTCGAACTCAAACGTGATATATATCCTTCCTTTTCTAGCTCTGCAATTGAAGAAATAGCTATTCCCAACTCCATCTCAGATAATTGGACGAGGAAATTGTCCGCCATTGTCAGGTGAGGGTAGAGCTTATTTCCAGTATTTAGTAAGTGTCATGTTGCACCTTCATGGTGCAAGCTCATGGCCTGAGGAAACGATTCAATTCCTCCTTCTGGAATGGTGTGCTTGGTGATTCCTCCCCGTGAGGTGGGTCGGCGGGTTGATTCGCGGGCGGACGGACTGCGGCTGAGGAGGCTGGAGATGCTTCCTACTCACTCTGCCAGATTGTGGGCGCAGTCGAAATAACCAGAGCGGTGGCGTAGCAGTGAGATGGTCATGAGATTGATGGTTTGGCGTATGCGACAAATGTGCGTGTGAGAACGGGTCGCAAGGTCTCGCTCAGTAACCTGTTTCCCGTCCAAGCCAGCAACCCAAATCAAGCTACACGTCTCCTCTAACTCAATCCCCAACATCATCATCGCAAAGAACTTCATCCGGCAGACAATTTTTTCCGCCCGCTCACCTGCGCCTCTCTCTCCACCTCCCACCATCCTCTTCACCTCATCTCCGGATCCACCAAACAAAACCCATCGAACCGCATAACCCCCACATTGGGCAACGACCTCAACAGCAGACTCGCCACAGGCAACGCATCAATCCCATCCCTAACCTGGCGAAACCACTCTTCCTTATCCCCCTTCCTCACATGCCGTTCAATCTGGTCCCTCAGCACACCCTCCAACTCCACGCACTGGGGCCACGGCGCGAGATTCCCCCCATACGCCCTCCGCACCGAGAATACTTTCACCAGCGCCCGGTGGGGCAGCGATGTCCAGAGTAGGTATGCAAGGGGCCGCAGGTACTGGAAATCGGTGTTTGTGAGGGCGATGGCGGAGTAGAGGTGTGGTGTTGTGATGCGGTTTAGGTCTTTTGAAACGAGCGTGAGGGCGTGGAGAGTGGGTCGGGCGTCTGTAAGAAAGACGATGCGATCGATGAGCTCTTCGGGCAGGGAGGTGAGGGTGTGGGTGTGGGGAGGCATGGCGGCGAGTCCCGGGGGAGAAGTGGGGGCGGTGTGGGGGAGCGGGGGTGTGGGATCTGGGGAACGGGGATGGAGATCTACGAGTGTTTTTCTCGTACAACTACGTGAGAAGATTGTTTGCGAGTAGAGAGTGAAGGAGGTGTTATTGTGATGGATTCAAAGAGGACGCGGATGCAGAGGGGAGTGAAGCCATGATTTCTTGACCATTGCGCCAACCGTCATGCCGTGCCTCGGCCGCACCTAATGTGTGATGGGTTCGAGTAGGATTCCGCGGAGGTCAGATGCGAAGACTCACATTGGATGACATGTTGGTGACTTCGTGATAGCGCTGCGCCAAGTCAGGAGTTCGGCCGCTATTACCCCGCCCCCGCATTGTTTGCCATACGAGCCGTTGCGGAGAACGGAGGTCTTAACCCTTCGCAACAATAAAATCCGATGAGAGCGGTATTGAAAGATGAACAACATGGAGTGCAAAGCCAGAGGAAATTCAGCAATTGCATAACTGCGGAGCGTCACAGGCGGTGATTTGTATTCTATAGCTCTACGCCAGGGCGCGTCCTCTCATCCTAACCGACATCAGAGCACACTCCCATCCCTACGAGCCATTCCTGGCCCCCTCGCTCTTCTCCCTCAACAACTCCTCAATATGCGCGTTGAGCCGGTACTTCTCCAGCACAGCAGGATCCGTATCCTTCGCGCCCGCAATGCGCCCCCTACACTCCTTCGTCTTGCATAAGCAATCGAACGGCTGCGACATATGCCACTCAGTACTTGGGTAGAAGAACGACAACTCGTCCCCCTCCTTCAGCCCCCCCTCGAGCTCCGGGTTGACCCTAACCTCCCACTTCTCCATGTCGAAAATGACTGTCGGCGTACAAGAGTGGTTGATGTACACCAGGTCGCAGTTCAGCTCGATGTGCAGGTCGCGGCCGGCCTGCACGGATGTGTACGCGCAGGTGGCTGGCGTGGGGTTCGATATGCGAGCGAAGAGTGCGCCGGCGGGGAGGGTGACGAGGGAGATGGCGCGGCTGGCGAAGTCTCCAGGGAGGAGCTCGACGCGGAGAAGACGTGTGAGGTCTGGGGTGACCCAGGCGGGGATCTGCTTGGACGACGTCGATTTCCCGTTTGTGGGTGGTGCCGCGGGGGATACAGCTGTGGGAGACATTTTGCTCTTTGTGTGAGGATTGAAACAGTAGGGAGGAGGGTAACAGGTGTTCAATGATATTGGAATGGGGGGGGGGGGCAAGCTGGGCTCAGTGGGGCTCTGCTTGTCTTTAATACTACTGCGTGGAATATTGTGATTGCTTGATGCTAGTGGTCCTGCTAAGTACCTCCACTCCATATACTTTGTTATTCCTACTCCCACATCGCGCCGCACTACTGCAGGACCACTGCGAGGGGCGCTCGCTAAGACAACTACTCTCAAGAAACGTCGCACTTCGCGTGCTTAAACGCCGGTGATAATCCGTATTCTAGACGAGGTAGGTATCTAAGCTGCATTCAAAACATCAGCACGCGAGAACATCACACCACAGCGGCATTCCTTCCATTCCCTCTTTTCAACACACATCCTATCGCACCATACGTACTATACTAGCACCGCAGACTACACGTTATAGTGTCGAGGTAGGCAATCGCACAAAAAGTGGGCGATAGGATAGGAATTGCGGGTTGTATCTTAGTAGCACAGATTACCTACCCAAGCCCGACGAACTTGAGCTTATCACCATGCCTATCTGGGTCTAGCCATGTGCAACTTGACGAGGTTTATGCGGTGGTACCTTCTCGAAATGTGCCTCCTTCGTCAGCCGGTGCTGGGCTCGCGCAATAAGCAATGTTTCCTGCAACATGGGTGTTGTTCGAATGCAGACGATCTGTCCTTTCGAATTGATTAGAATCTTTGTGCGCGGAGACCTGAGGTACTCGTGGAATTAGTGGGGTTTATGGGGCCATGGGGTCGCGTGCCGCGTAACCGCTTGCACTGCAGGCTCTGGGGTTATTCAGAAAATGGCAAACTGGCATGCCGGAACGGATCTCTAATGCAAGATGACGTATGACGTACAAATGGGTAAACTGTGAGGTTTACCTCGGGACGAAGACCTCTCCGAACATGAACATGGCTGTTCATCATGTGATTTTGCCGACCTCATCAAACCCACATGTTGATCTGCAAGTTTGGACATGTTGTATTCAATGCCCCACACCCGACCTTCCGCTGAGCTCACCACACCTCTCCCCTAATCAATTTCAATGCTTCTCTCCTATTACCCTGTCGTTCAGCTCATCGCGACCCCCAGTCTTCTCACCCTGTAATCCCATCTGGCTTGTGTCGTATCCGTTCGCTGTCAGGTACTGGCGGAAGTCCACATCCTCCTTGTCAATCGTATCCTGTCCGATGTGTGGAAGCAGCAAGACCAGACCTGCGGCCAAAAAGGCGAGGGTACTGGCAACGAAGAATGGATTGCGGCCTGCTGCAACCTCGTCGTCACCGGCCGCAGCTTGCAGAGCGGACAGCGCGTAGGAGCCAGCGAATGCACCAATCTTGCCGACAGCCGCCGCGATACCATAGTATTGGCCTCTGTGGGATTGTCAGTTTGTAACAGGATAGTGATGGAACGAAGATGTATGTACCGTATACCAGTCGCGCAAGTCTTCGATGCAACTAGGCCAATGTTGTCGCCTGGCCCAAATTCGCCCAGAGCGAGGAAGATGCCATATACGACTACAAAGCCTGCAACGTTCTCAGGCTTAGCAAGCCAAGGATAGCATCCGGCCATAATAAATCCAATGATGCCTTGCAGCGTGACTCCAATGCACAATGTTTTCTTCGGGCCCATAGATGGTAAGTCGGCGACGAAAGCACCAGCCAGACATCCCGGCATGTAGAAGAAGTTGATTAGGATGTTCCATGCCAGACTCTTCCATAATGGCGATGTAGGTCCAAGCAAGTTTGACAAAATGGTGCTAGCATAGATACCAAACGAATAGGCGCTGAAATCGTAGATGAACCAGATGATGCTGACGATACTGAGTCGGAACCAGTAATACTTGATAATGAGCAGCCATGGAGTCTTGGATTTGGCCATGGACTCGCGCTTGAAAGCCTCAGGCTCCTGGAGTTTGAACCGCAGATACATGAGTGACAACGGAGGCAAAACTCCGAGTCCGAGACATATTCGCCATGCTACACGTAGATGGTTTTCTCCAGTGATGACCACTACGACGGTGGCGACTATTGCGGCGATCAAGAAGGCGAGATCGATCTGAACATTCGTGAAAAGGATGAAATACTTGTTGCGGCTGCCCGCTTCGAGTTCGCCGGTGGATTCTGCACAGCCCACACTGCCTGCCGGGTACTCCCCTCCAATTCCTTGCAACTGTCAGTATCAAGTTTCAAGTGTGATCGAGAGCCTCCTACCGATGCCCAAGAAGAATCGATATACAGCCAGCGCTGTCAACAATCCCGACGGACTCCCGCCTGCTCCATAAGATCCTGTCCCAAGTGCAGCGAACAGGAGGATAATTATAGTCGATACTACGAGCGACCATTTCCGCGAGAAATGATCCGATGTGTAGCCGAAAAAGAGCATCCCGACAACTGTGCCGGCAAACGTGATACTGCTAATGTTCGCCTGGATGGACGAGCCGGTATACTCTTTCGGATAGATTTTGCTAAGCATGGTATTGACAGGTCCGATGATCTACATCGAATGTTAGTGTTTGCATCGCGTGGGTAGGGTTGCTTTGGCATGCGATGGTCGCTGGATAGAAATGTCGCTCGGGGTTTGTCGCTTTGGAAGGTTCGTACATTGTTCAAGTAGCCATCACTGAACAGTCCGGCACCGCAGGCCATGACGGGCCAGAGCTTTTCCCATCGTCCTTTATCTGTCCTTGCGACGCTGCCACGACGCTCGATGTCTTTGTCGCTGGCAGGGTCGCGCAAGTTGGGTGAGGTCTCTTTCGCAGCAGCCATTGTGCTATCCGCAATACCCCAAAGTTTTAGCACGCGTGAGAGTTGTCTGAAGGCGTGGTTTTGGGCGCAAGCAAACTAGCAAAGGTGGAAGTAGAGGCGATGGTTGATAACCGCGATCTGGTATCAGCACAATGGACCCTGCACCGGGTTGGTTGCCTCAATTTGTACCACTCGAGATACAGACCCGGTGATCACCGCCGTTGACTCCGGATAAGACGCTGTGCAAGCTTGCAACCGTACTCGGCACACGACTGACCACTCAGACATCAGGATATGCAATGAGCACGTGCAGATGTCAACCCGCTTCCTCAAGCCTTTCCCGAAGAAGAAGGTGCGATACAAAGTGTCGGGTATATCGATTCGTAATTTTCAACCCGGGAATGATTCTACGCGGCTCTGAATGGGCGCATCAGACGGTTTATGTCACGGTACACGAGGAATTTCAAACTCTGATAAATATGCCTCAGACCGTTGGAGACCTAGCACGTGTAGTCCTCGTCATCCTTCCTACTCGCCCCACAGAGCACTGAGCTTCTAGCGAAGAGGCGGCGCAAGAAGTTGCCGATTCATCGACCGTCGTAACAATGATGTTAAAATGTCAAGCTTCGCCATGCTTTGGTGGCTTCCGGGTAGGCAGCATGGCTTGAACCTAAGCAAGTTAGCGCTTGTTACCGTTAAAAAGCTTGTTCGTCACCAACGTAATGGCACGTGATCCGGAAAGCACTAAGAACACCAAAAGAAATATAGACAAGACTTGAGAAGCGAGATATAGAGCTAACTAGGTTTAAGGTAGAGAATAAGGGGTTGTAGTAGAGAACGTCTTTGTAGTATCTACAAACTAACTTCTCTAACGCGCGTATTTAGTAATTGTATTGCTCTTACTAAGGTACAAAATTAGGTAATTTACTTTATAGCTTTATTAGGTAAAAAACACAGAAGAAAGACTGTATTTTATACTATAATATAGTATAAAATATAAAGTAAATTTATATAAACTTAGTATAAAATAACTACAGTTTATTATTAAATAGGTAGGTAAATTTATACCTTATTTTATAATAAGTATATAAAGATATTTATAACTATTATATATTAAATTATACTATAAATAGTCTATTTCTTAACTATTACAGCCTAGTAAGTATATTAGTAAAGGTATCTTTATACTATATAAAGTTTTTATTATTAAGTAAAACTTTAAGTACTACTACTATTTCTAAGCTTAATTAGGTAGTAACTCTTAATACTACTATTAATATTCTAGAATACTTTACTAAGTAGTTAAGAAATACTAAAGATTTAGTTAAAGCCTATATTTATTACTATTAGTATTTTAATAATAAGTTATTTAACTTACTATATAAATAAATATACTTTTATTTAATAAAAAAGAGTTATACTTTTTATAAAAAGCTTCTTTAATACTATTTAGACTTTTTTTTTAACTTATTACCTTTAAAATTTATTACTAGTAAAGTAATTATAACTACTAAGTTAAGTACTATCTTTATTATAGTTAGAGCTAAAGTAGAATAAATATAATTACTAAGTTAAGTACTATTTTTATTATAGCTAAAGCTAAAAGAAAAGATATATCTTTTATAAAAAGCTTTTTTATTACTATTTAAAACTTTATTATAGTATACTTTTTAAGATGTATAAAGTAGTAATAAAAAGTATTTTTTTTATTAGTAAAGTTAATACTAATATATTTAACCTTTTTATTAAATAGATATATAAGAAGAAGCTATTAAAGAATATACTAATACCTTTCTTTTTAGTATATTATATCTTTATTAAATATTAGTTCTACTTTATAGTAGATATACTTTTAACTTCTAAATAGAAAAATACTTTAATAAAAAAAGCTTCTTAAGTATTATTTAGGCTTCTTTTAAGGTATACTATCTAGTAAGTTTAAAGAAATAGTTAATAGTATTATCTTTATCTACTAAATTAATACTAATATATTTAATATCTTTATTAA